TGGGGTGGGCATGGTGGCGCAGCATCACTGCAAGTCTTGGTTCCCTTCTTCATTCCTTCTCTGACTCTGATCAGCATTTATTAAGTCCATGACCTGCACCAGACATTGTGCTAGATGTTGGGATGAAGAAAACACAGCAGAGGACAGAAGGGAGCCAGTAATGTTAACGCTGCAATGCTGCCATGTCAGAGGCTATCCGCTGGGGCCCTACAACAACACAGAGCGGAAGCACTCAACTCTGGCTGCAGAGGTCAGGGTGGGGAGGTGCTTCCAAAGGAGAAACCCTTGGAAAGATAAGCATTAATTTTCCAGGTGGACTAGGGAGGCAGTGCCTTCCAGGAAAAGGCAGGCAAGTGAAACACTGCGGAGGCAAGAATGAGCTTGTAGTCAAGGAGCTGCAAGTAGTGAAGCATGGGGGAGTTTCGGTGCCAGCCGGGCAGACGAAAGATAGAGGCTAAAAATTAGTGGGGAGCAGATTCTGAAGGAATGTGTACGTCATGCTAAGGAGATTTCATCCTTTAACAAATGAAGAGCTACTTCTGCTGGCCGTCATAGAGAGACTGTTCTCTCTGCAGAGACTGTTGGCCACAGTCCAGAGGAGGATGGCAGAGGGTCTGAACCAGGGCTGTGGAGGGAATGGAGCTTCCCGTGGGTGGATGCAGTGACAGGCATCCATGACTCCACAGGCTGCAGGGCTGTGGGTGGCACAAATGGGGAGGGAAAACATGGGGAAAGGAAGAGGATGTGCCATCTCAGATCACACTGAATGGAAGCACCTGTTGAGATACCCTGAAGTGCATGTGCACAGGGAGATGGTCACAGCTAATCATTCAGAGGAGATTAAGTGCACATGTTAAAAAAAAGGATCGGGGCAGATACTGGGAAATACGAAGCCAGAGGATTTAAGAGCAAGGGAGATGAGATCAAGGGGTAAACTCTGGTGCTCAGACATCAGAGCACAGACATTGGCGATCACGCTCTCACCCCCTTGTGAATGGGACTAGTGTCCTTATAAAAAGATACGCAAGAGAGATGACCTCTCTGCAATGTGAGGATGCAAGGAGAAGCTGACTGTCTAGAGACCAGGAAGAGAGCCCTTAGGATGATCTACACTCTGCCCACCATGCCAGTGCCCAGCGCTAGGGCTGCCAGCCTCCAGAATTATAAAAAATAAATATTTGTTGTTCCAGCCACAGCCTATGGTGTTCTGTTGCAGCAGCCCAGGCTGAGTAAGACTCCTTTGACAGTGAATATAGGTTTGCACCGACATATTGAAATGGAAACATCAGGGGTCATTCCTGTGTACCCTCCCGGCCTCCAGCCCTTCTAAGGGGACCTGCCTCCCCAACGTGGCTCTCAGTGTTTGCATTTGCCCAAATTACCTTCTCCCTCCCTTTCATGCCTTCCTATTTCTTGCTCTTGTTTCCCAACCAACATACATCAGCTCCCAACATCTCATTGGGCTGTCTTTGGAGAAGACCCACCGGCCCACTTCTCTAGTTCACCAGTCAGCCTGCCCCCTCACCTCTGCCCTTTGTTGCTCTGACACCAGCAGCTGTGGGTAGAGTTTCCTGCCACCTGCTCTAGTCCACGGAGCTCCTTCAGTGCCTCTCCGTCCTCCCACCCCCAGCCCGCTAAAGGCAGGCAGAAGGGATAGTGGAGAAGCCCTGCGAAGACAGGAGTTTAAAAAAGCTGAGCAGTTCAGACAAGAACTAATCTAAGCCAACAGAGGGGGGCATTTGTGTGGCGGCCAGATCAGAGCCAACATTAGCATCCTTGGTTCCCTTGGATTCTGTCTGCAGAATGTGCTTCCCAGGCTGGGAGAGACAGCAGCCTGTTCCAGATCACGAGCTGGCATGTCCCGGTTGCGCATGGCAACCCAGCTGTGCTGGAGTGTTAGCATGTGTAAATGTGTGTGGGCTTAAATTACATTATTGATTCTGTCTGGAAGACGATAGTCTGATTTGTATATAGCTCTGAATAAATTACTCATTTTCCTTTACAGCCATCAGGGTAAGAGTCTCTCTTTCTCTTTCTCCTCTTTTTAAAACAATTTTTAGAGACACAGCAAATTGTGTCAAGCAGATGTGAAATGAAATGTATCCCATAACAACCGTACCAGAGGAATCCACACCCAGGGCACCAGCCCGGAAAGTAGTGTCTGGCGTTACTGAACAGATAACGAATGGGATGGATTTGGAAGGGATGGAACCTATAGTGGGTATTCTATTCCAAAGGACCCACAAGGTGCAGATTGAAATTCAGTGAGAAGCAGCCAGGAGCAGAGGGAGATGCAGCCCCATCCTGGGCTTGAGCAGTTCTAGCTGAAGCCAGGCTTCCTGTTCCGTTTTCTCGAAGAAGAACAACCTCAGCACCACCCAGCCCAGATGAGCCACTTCGGCCAAGCTGTAGCTGCAGGGAAATAAATGCTCACTGCCGTATGCTACCGAGTTTGTGGGGGCTTGTTGTGCAGCAGTAGCTGATGGATGCAATCCTCCATCTTTCCAACAACGTGGCTATCGGCCTCACTGATGATGGAAAAGGCGAGAAGAGGATCCCTCAGCTCTCTGTTTCTGCAGTCACTGCTCACAAGCCTTATCGAGAGAAAATGCGTTGCATGTATCATAACTTCAGTTCGCATTGGGCCCTCCTGTGCACTGCGCCATCAAGCGTGGCGTTGCCACCAGAAGCAACAGGGAGGCCAATTCCTCTGAGAGAGGCTCTAAGTAAATTGTAGGATTCCATCTCCACCACTTCTTCAGTGTTCATGGAAGTCCTGTTAGCAGATTGGTGAGATTATGTTTGAATTGGGGAGCGGTGTTACAACTCTCAGAAAGCATTGTAAATATTTCCTTCCGTTCATGCCAGAATGAACACTGTTTCAGAATGCCAGAGGTTATCACCCTCCAGCTCTTTCTAACCGCTATGTCTCCACTCTCCAGTCAAGGTATATACCGTACCAGCACATTCAATCAATTTCAACAGTATTTATTGAGCACCTGCTATGCGCTGGACCCTCAGAATGGCACGCTAGATGTCATGTTGAAGGAAAGAAAAGATGGTTATGACGATGTTAGACTGGCTCTGAGGCATCTGTTCTGAAAGTCTGCGCAGCTGAGCGGGAGAAAACCCCAGGATAAAGTTCTGTTTGGGGCATACATGTTCGAGATGCTTCTGAGACACGCTGTCACAGGGGCAGTAAGGGGTGCAAATACAGAGCTCAGAGGAGAGGTCTGGGCTGAAAACACCAATCCAGACAGGTGCCAGCATGTAAATGGCATTTAAAGCCACAGGACTGGATGAGATTTCCCAGGCAAACCGTCCACGAAGAGGAGAGGACACTGGAGGGAAGCTGAGGAATCCCAACATTTTGAGGACAGGCAGAGGAAGAGGGGGAAGCAAGAAGACTACAAAGGAGCAGCTCAGAAAATAGGAGGGAAGCCAGCGAGTGCAGTGGAAAACGTGGTGCTTGCCCACGCATTCCTGCCCAGCAGCCATCTCTCCGCGCCCTTCCCTCGCAGGCAGGAGTCTGCTTGTGCGTGGGGGCTGGGGTTGGGGTTGGGGTTGTGCCCTTCATGAGAGGCGGGGCTTCTCTCTGGTCTCAGGGGATGAATCATGGGATCTAAGAGAACAGAGATAAACCACTGTCCTTGGTGGTACCGGTCCAGTCATAAGTTAGTTACACAGCTTTGGCCAATCATACGTGAGAGGAAGTCCACTGGGTGGTTTGGAGAAGGAGAAAACTGAATTCCTTTCCTGCCTCTGGAGGACGATGCTGCAACTATCTTGCAGTCAGGACACATGAGACCAAAACCCCAAACAATGATGATGGAAAGAATATTTGTGTCAATTACACCTCTCAGTCATTGAATTAAATATCTTTGGAGCACCCCCTATGTTATAAGGTAATCAGTTTTCTGAATGTGTAGGCATTGCGCGTCTTTTGTGACCTGCAGCCCCAAGCATCCTACCCGATATCTGTGGGCAGCGAGGGGACTCACACCCACTGGCAACATGATTACACCAAGGCCTCGAAGGTGAGGCTTGGTTCAAAACTTGAAGGTTTCCTTGACCTTATTGGGGGGGTGGGGGAGCGGAATAGCAATCATGCAATCTTTTCAGTGTATTGTTTGTCGATCTTAATAGTAACTTAATATTGTTGATAGTTTGTATCTTTGAACAGTCAACACAAAAATTCTTCTACCAAGCTAAAAGGATGTTTTATCTTAGCTATCTCAGAAGGAATGGATCACTTTTAACTATGACATTTCAACCACCCTTGGCCAGGAAGAAGGATGCGTTGAAAGACTGAGATAGTAGTATTCTAGGGCTATTTTCCTGCTAACATGGAAAAGAAATGATTCATGAGAAGCCAACGTGAGAACAGTAAGTAGATACCCTTGGTTAGGACCAGGAAAGCCGATAGAAACTTAAATATAAATTTAAAAAACTTAAATATAAATCAGACTCCAAACTGATGATGCTTAGCACCTTAATTAACCAGATTTTGAATTAATGACTGTAGTGTCTCCATCTTCAAATGGTTTGGGACGTCCTTACAGCTTTTCAGTAATGTTCTTTTTATTCAATTAATGCTTCTGAAAGAGCTTTAATTTTACGTTAATCAAAAGCCCTCATGATTTGCTCAGGATTTACTCAAATTCAAGGTGTTTTCTTTCCTTAAGCACAGTTATCAAAGCAGAGGCTCTGATTACAGGGACAAGATTCCATAGCAACGGCCGGCTAAGCTCACTGAGCGGAGCTGTCCGCTGACGTCTGTGCCAGGCTGAGGGGGAGTCGGGGCAGGTTCGGCGAATGGGACAAACTTCCCTTCACCTTCCTCCTGAGGAGCAAAACCTGCTTCCTTGACAACGTAAACAGTTCCCTTATCATACCCATTTTTATAGCAAACAGCTCCCTGCCTGAACCCCAAGAAGAATTCTAGAAAATTCTATGACATTCAAAAAAAAAGGCAAGAAATGAAGTTGGCTTTTTCTTACCTGTTAACCTGAGATATTTCTAACCTTCCCAAAGCAGAGCTTGGTCTTCTTCCTCTGCAGTTCATGGTAACAGACAGCAAAACCTGCCAGGGACTCCTCTATTGATCAGAATTATGTCCCCTGAATGGCTAGTGATCGGAGATGCCTGGTGAAGAACGTCTTGCTGGGCGCAGCCACGCGGGTGAGCTCTGCTCTGGTGCTGGCTGCTTGCTCCTTGTGGTGCCAGAGTTTGTAACTGGAGCACCAGGTGAGGTTCCTCCTCTCCCCGCTCCTCCCAGGCACGTGAATCCCATCACAAGGGCAGGTAACTGATGCTAACATGACGTCGGGAGGTGGAGCAGGCAGGAAATGCCCGGGGGTGGACAAACAGGAAGACAGCTCTGGTATTAAAAGCACTCTTTTATCACCTTTCCCTGCCAGGGTGCGATCGACAATTATTGTATCGGGGGGCTCCTCACGGTCCAAAACTGAACCCTTGATTACTCAATCCTACTCTTTCTCCACCTTCCCTGTCTCAGATGGCAGCTCCATTTTTCCAACCACATAGGGACTTGGGGTTACCTCCTGTCCCCCTTTCTTGCCCAAACACATGCTCAGTCCACCAACAAATCCTGTCGGTTCTACCTTTGAAGTATCTCTGGCATCAAACGGCCCCTCACTTTCTCCACTGACACCTGTGTCTCCCACCTGGACTTTGGCAATAGCCTCCTGATTGGTCCCCCCGTTTAAATTTCTGCCCCCCTGCAACAGAATCTATGTAGAGAGTAACCTTTTAAAAAGAGAATTTAGAGAATATCAGTCCTCTACTCAAAACCTTGCCATGCTTCCCATTCAAAGTAAAATCCACAGCTGCAGAGGCTTCTGGGATCTGTCCACCTGTCTGACCTCATCTCCTGCCATTCCTCATTTTTCCGGGACCATTTTGGCCTCTTAGAACGTGCTGGGCTTTTCACCATTGCTCTCTTTCTGGAAGGCCCAGCCTCCAGATATCCATAAGTTTCTCCCCCCCGTCCCTCACTGTTGACCAGGAATGGGCCATCTTATAGAGCCGTCACTAACCCCCACCTAAAACAGCCACACTCCCTCCCTCTCTATCCTTTGCCTGCTTTATATTTTGTGAACTGTTATAAAATTACATTCAGAAATCATATTCATTTCTTGGCCACACACCCTGCTTTCGGCTTAGGTTCAGAAAGGTTAGCTGGGTGTGTTGGTTATACGGTTGACTCTTGAACAACACAGGTTTGAACTGCATGTGTCCACCTGTAATTTCAATAAATACATTAGAAAAATGTTTGGGGATTTGTGACTATTTGAAGAAACATTTTCTTTTCTCCAACTTACTTTGTTGTAAGAATACAGTATATGATATGCAGGGCATACGAAATGTGTGTTCATCCACTGTTTACGTAACTGGTAAGCCTTTGGTCAAGAGTAGGGTATGAGCAGTTAAGTTTTTGGAGAATTGGAAGTTGTAACTTGGATTTCCGACTGTGTAGGGATGTGTGTGTTGGGCGGTCAGTGCCCCTAACTCCAGTGCCCCTAACGCCATGTTGTTTAAGAGGCAACTGTATTCTGCTTGGCCTCCAAATCCCCTTCTGCACCTTTCTCCAGCCCCCTCTGAACTCCTGGAGGCTGGCCCTTTGGTCCCCACCTCCCTCAGTACCTTCCTGGTGGGCGCCCACTGGGTGTGGCCACTGGGGGCCACTGACGGGAGGTCAGATTATACCAGAGAGAAGGAGAAGACCAGAGAGGAGTATTTCTGTTTCATGTCTGATTGCGGCTCTCTCCCTCCCGGACTGTAATTCCCAGGGGACAGCGGCTTGTCCACATAGCTGCATCTCCCTGGGCTCCAGCCACATTGTCCATTCCGGCCTAGGGAAGCTAGTCTCTGCAAGCCTCACTTCATTTAAGCCCTGGCATGTGAAGCGACTGCGGTGCCTTCTGTTTGCTGCCTGGACCCTGACTGAGCTGTCAGCTTAGCCTGAGCAGGTGCAATTTGCCAACGAGGTCCCTCCTTCTGCTCAGTGAGTCTTCCTCTTTGTCACCCATTGGAATCATCTGGAATCACATTGGAATTAGGTTTAGCACAGACTGGCTGCTGGGTTCCATCCTCAGATTTTCAGATGCAGTGACTGGGGAGTGGCCTGGGCCTCTGGATTTTAAAAAAATCTCTCCAGGCCTTTGTATTGTGCAGCCAAGGTTGAGAATTATTGCTCTGGCTCATACACCCATACAGAGGAGATGTTTAGTACCTAATGAAAACTCACCTATGTATACTCCCTTGTCATTTTTTTCCTTTTCCTTCTTTCTTTCTTTTTTACTTTTTTTTTCTTTTTACAAATTATGGCAGTCGCTCAGTGGAAAATAATGTTATTTTTCTATCCCATTCATGAAAGCATTTTTCAACGCAATAAAACAACTTTGAGCATTTATATAACAATTTCAAGAGTTAAAAAACAATGAATAGATGTTTCTGGAAAGCACAGAGATCTACATTTCTTTTCACTGGGTGTATGGAGGAGTGACTTTCGCAGGAGGGTAGAAAGGGGATCGAAAGTGCCATCAGGGGACAGACACCACAAGAGAAAAAATTCAGGACCATTATCTGTGTTGAAACATTGCTTTCTTTCACATATAATAATAGAGGTACTAGCATTACATAATTAACTCAAATCAGGTGCATGGACTGATTAGTCCTGACAATCTCCTCTGAGAAGGGCACATATTAGAGAATCATTCACACCCTTTGGCACATTAAAATCAGCAGCGGCTACTGGCCTCATGAGAACCTTTGACGTTTTTAATGTTTAAAATGCTTCCCCCATTTGGCAGGTTTTAAAACGCAGAAGATCCACAACCATACTGATTTTAAAAGATGTTCTCTCTTTCAACACTATGCATTTGTTAGTGGTGCTCAAACTTAGTATTTTTAAGAGGCAGAACTGATTCTCCCAAGCCTCTCATTTCATTTTGAGGTTTCCAGAGATGTCTGCTCTAGGTAACATGATGCCTGTACCAGTTAGCTGTTGCTACATTCATTTCTGTGGCATGCAACGAAAGGTACTGATTTCTCACTCCCCACTTGTGGGTCACTAGGGCAGGTTAGCTGGGGTAGCCCCAGCAGTCCAGTTGGGCTGCTCTAACAAAATATCACCAACTGGGTAGATTATAAACAACAAACATTTATTTCTCACAGTTCTGGAAGCTGAAATTCCAAGATCATGGTGTCCACAGATTCAGCGTCTGGTGAGGGCTTCCTGGACCAGACGACCCTCTTCTCTCTGCGTCTTCTCGCGGGAGAAAGGACTAAACAGCTCTCTGGGGTCTCTTTTTTAAGGTCGCTAATCCTTCATCACCTGATCACCTCCCAGAGGCTCTACCTCCTAATATCACCACCTCAAGAATTAGGATTTCAGCATATGAATTTTGGGGGGACACAAACCTTCAGACCATGCCAGTGGGTCTGCTCCATGTTTCACCCTCCTGGACCAGTGGGCAGCCCAGGCCATGTCTGCTAACACCCCTTTGGCTAAAGCAAGTCACATGGCCAAACTCACAGTCAAAGGCTAGGGAAACACATTCCGTCTTCAGTAAGAGGGACTCAAAGTTACCCAGTCAAGGGTGTGGACACAGGGAGAAATAAAGACTTGGGGACACTGATTCAGGTGCCTAAAGAAAAAGAGGGTCAAACAGTACAACCCAGTGCTGTTCACTGGTAGAATCTCTGGCTTAGAGGGGCAGGCACTTTCCTGTCCTACGCCTCTGAACGTAGGATGCCTCTCTGTGTCAGGACAGATGGCTGTGTGCTCGTCCACGGGCTGCCTGCCACAGGGCTGTGGAGGTGGCCTTGGGTTTCCTTGGCTGTCATGCCCTTAGAATACCAGGACTCTCTCCAGAAAAGCAATGAGAGGTTTGGGCAGCATGAGGTGCGGAATGGTTGGTTGAGTAGTGAAGTACAGAGGATTTTTTAGGGTGGCGAAACTATTCTGGCTAATAACTGTAATGTGATAAGTGTGGATATGACACTATGCTTTTGCCTGAACCCACAGAAGTTTATAGCACAAAGAATGAAATTCAATGTCTAGAAATTAAAAAAAAAAATCGTTGAGGAGGTCTGGGATGCCACTTGAGATTTCTAGGGTGTACAGCCTTCTCCTTTTGAAGGTAGATGGAAAGTTCAAGAAGCACCCACAACGTGGCTGCCATGGCCCCAAACTCCAGTCCTGGACAAGGCTTTGCCAGCACAGTTTGAAGAAGACGATTAGCATAAAGCCAAACCATGTTCATGAGCGATCCACAATGTGAATTGCCAGACATTTATCGAATACTCTGGAATACAGAAACTAGAATGAGAGAGTGCTCGCTCTCGGGGATCAAGGCACTCAGGCCGTGAACGGTCTGAGCTCTGCTTCCTTGACCTCTTTATGACCATCCCTCTGCTGCCTGTCCCCAGCCAACTCACTGTGCTCCAGCCACTCTGCCTTCTTCCAGCTCCTACAACACTTCAAGGTCTTTCCTACCTTAACGCCCTAGCTTGATGTTTCCCAAGCCTGGAAAGCTATTGACTCATCTCTTCATATGGCGGCTCTTCCTCCTATTAAAGGCTCAGCTTAAATGATGGCTCCTCATTGAAGCCGCCCTCTGTTCTCCATCACAGCACCATTTATGCTCTATAGAACACTTACTACTGTAATTATGATGTTCATTTTATTTATGATACGTCCCTCCCTCTAGAATGTAAGCTGAATGTCTGTCTTTTCACTACCAGTGTGTCCCCATTACCTAAAACACTGCTGGGCACATAATAGGTACTCAATAAATATTTATTGAATAAAGGGGCTACTCTTTTTTAATCTTTGGTTCAAGATCCCAATGAATATGGACCATACTTTGGAGAGAGTGTTATGAGGACAGACAGAAAGCCCCATACCACACATGTAAAACTGAGAATCCATGTGCAATTACTGGGTGGCTACAGTTGCAGTCTCCAGTACTCCAAGAAAATCGTCAACAGCAGCTTAATGTTTAAGCCCTGGCCCAAAATTATAAAAGCAGGGCAAACACCAACTAATAGATAGAAAATCACTGCTGTCTGGATGAGGCATAATTGGGCTCTTACTGATTCCACACAAAATGGAAGTAGAAATGAGTACAGGTCCAAACCAGAGATCCGTTAAGAACAAAGTATGGGTCAAGCTGCACCTCCATGCACGTCCTGCTGGTAATTGTTAGTCGGGGCGGAGAGAAGAGGAGAGACAGCCCCACAGGACATCCTGGGAAACGGAGGAGAGAGTCAGGCAGAGAAGCCTTGCACCTATTCCAAATCTCTCAAGAATCTGTCCTTCAGACACACTCCAGACTGCCTCCCAACAACCAAGCCGAACATCACAACAACATAACCGACAGGGGCCTGGGCTATGTGTGAAGCCACAGATTCACCAGAGATTTGGAGAAGGTACAGGCTCTATTCTCCTTGATCTCTTGTGCTGTGATGAAAGAGCAGTAGGCTCAGAGCCACAGGAGGAGACTCTTTGGAGCCGGTGGCAAAGATCTCAGACTTCAAGGTTCTCTCACGGGCCCCAGATGGCAGGTGTGGGAAGATTCCTTGCAAAAGCGCCACACCTGACCACCTTTGCTATGATTCCTAGAGAACCTGCCCACGTGTGATGACCATACAAAACCTGAAGGGGTTTACAAGAGTGGGATGAAGTTACCCAGTCTGTGCTGCTGGGAGCTGTCTCTTCCCTGCTTGGGAGGGTGCTAGAGGGAGCATGGGGCTCTTACCTGCACTCCAGTAAGCAACTGAACGCTTTCTGCTTGCCCAGCCCCTTACATTACTGTGTACTAAATTCCCCTGTGAAAGGACCTAAAGACAGACTTTCACAGTTATAATATAAATCAGATATTTATATATTTCTGGAAACACACTGAAATAAAGTTACCAAAAGAGATTGAAAATTAAGGGAAAGGATACTCGGATATACTAAGATTAAAGATACTAAGTAAATGCAAAGAAAAAAAAAAACACCCAGCATGAATGGCAACATTACCATCAATCATTAGTGAGACCAAAGAGGAATGACATCATAATGGGGAAAAGTTAATCAATGAAAAAGCTCTGTGTAAGTCATAAACATTGATAAAAAACATGGCACTGGTATATCAAAAGATCCCAGAAATACCAGAAGACATTGATGAAAACATTTTTATGGTGACATATTTTAATATTATTCTTTCAGAATTTGACAGCTCAAGTATACATTTAAGGCACAGACATAAGGAATTTGAAAAATGCAATGACCTATACGTGTTACTCTTCTTATATTCATGTAATACACAAATCAATCATATGCTTGCATAAAGGAAACTTTGCTAAATTTCCCCAAATAGATATTTTTCTTAACTTTTAAATAGTAAGTCAATAATAAAACACTTCTTAAAATTCTCTAATTACTGAAAAATTAAGAAACCTCTTCCACATAATTCCTGGGTCAAAGAGGAAGTCAAAATTGAAACCACAAATTAAGTATCAAAAAGGAAAAGGAAACAGCACTATATGGAAACCTATCGCATACAATCAAAGCTGTGTTGGAGGAATTTAGAGCGTTACATGATTTTATTGTTTAAAAATAAAAGAAAATTACATGATGTCATGAATATCATCGTATTTGGAAGAATCTGAATTTTATTTTTCCTTAATTATTGAGGAAATGACCCAGTAGGCCTTAGCACTTTCACTGATTTTTAATTTTCTTCTCTTGAACTATTTTCCTTTATCATTGCCTTTATCATTCTCTTCACCCACATCACAGTATGAGCGAATAAAACGATCAAGAACTTGTCTGTCTGAAAATCATGAAGAAAAATGGGATGAAAATTTCCAGTTAACTAAGTGCTAGCTAGAGAAATTCTAGGAAGAAGGCAAATACATGATAATAGTACTCTATATACAAATTTGATGAGATCAAAATAATCAAAGGATACGATGTCTAATAGCTAAAAAGGCACATTTGTATAATTATTAATTAAAAAGGGGATCAGCAAGGCTTCCAGGAAAGAGCATGGATTTTGGAATGAAACACACCTAAGCCCCAGTTCTGCGCTGGCAAGTATTAGCAAGACCTCTCCATTTCTGCATTTGCTCATCTTTGACTATGGAAACAGTAATCTTGTACAGTTGTTGAAACAGATTAGGAATACTATGTGTGAAGCACCTAGACAGTACCTGGTTCATAAAAGGTACTCAATAAATAATAGCACAGCCCTTTCATTAGTGGTACAGTAATAAATAGTGATGACAAACAAACAAAATAGATTATTGTTCTGAAAGTTTCACTGAAGCCAGGGCTGTGTTACTGACCCGCAAGGTTACTATGCTTTGCCATCTATGAAGTTGTGACTGACCATGGGAAGGCCCCTTCTTCCACTTCTTGGCCTCCATTTCTTTATGTAGAGAAGGAAGGGTCTTGTCTGGTTCTGAACAGCTATGGTTTCCTAATCCTAATTATATATATTTTAAATAGTACAGAATAGAGCTGTAAAACGGCTCACTCTTAGCAATTGTTATCTGTGCAGCCAAAACTAAGAGGCTGAGAATGCAAGTGATAATATGCAATCACGTTCAAGGTCCATGTTACCGTGTTCAATGTTACAAATGCCTGCAGAGGTTTATACATCTTGGGTGTGTGTGTATGTGTCTGTGTTTTCCTGGTTTATTCTCCAATCATGTTTGCATTTATTTGTTTTTGTGATTTTGAATCCTACCCTGTCTCATATCTTTTTCAATGTCAACATTTTTAAATTGAAGTATTCTTTTTGTAAAGTGACATGCACTGATCTTCCACATCCGGTTGGATGGGTTGGCACTTGTATAACAGGCAACCCACACCTGTGTAATGATAGAGATCATTTCCACCTCCCCTGTCACGTTCTCTCTCAGTCAACACCTCTTCTCCCAAGACAGCCACTGTTCAGATCAACTTCATCATAACTAAATTTTGCCTGTTATAGACCTTCAAATAAATGAAATCATACAAAATGAATTATTCTGTGTCTGGCTCTTTCATTTAACATGATGTTCTCGAGGTTCATACATTTTGTTGAATATATCGATAGTTTGTTTTTTTCTTTGTCTACGGTATTTCATTTTGTGAATATATCACGTTCTCCTGGCATGGAGATGTGGGTTGCATCCAGTTTGGGACCCTGAATAATGAAGTGGTTATAAGCACTCCTGTACAAGTCCTTCAGTGGACATGTTTTCTTCTATCTTGGGTAAATACCCAGAAGTGGACTTTCTGGGTCATTGAGGAGATATATGTTTAACCTAAATGACAAATTCCCAGATCTTTTTCCAAAGTGACCATACTATTTGATACTCCTGCCAGCAATGGATAGCTCCACATTGTCAACATTTGCTGTTTTCAGTCCTTTTCTTTGTAAGGCTAAAATGTCTCTATTTTAAATCTTATACCAGAGTTAATTTTAAATAAAAAAAATCTTTCTGAAACCAAAGATAAGCATATAAGGTGTATCAAGTTTGGCATGAATTAATAAAAAAGATGAGATTGTGTCAAATTTAATGTCAACTTAATTAACTGTTCATAATTCAAACGTGACCCATATTATATACATACACAGATTCATGCCCCTGTGATTTTTTTCACGCCGGTCTCTCTGCTTAGGAATGGCCCTGCTTCTCCTGGTCTTGACGATTCATCTTTGACACTTAAAGGAGGCCTCGTCTGAGTAGCCGTCCCTAATGCCCTGTCAACCCACAGTCTTGAGAGTACCCCTTTCAGGCTTCTAATAGACTCCAAGGCGACACTGATTACAGAGCTCAAGACGTTGTAGCTATGCATCTGTCTCCTACATCTGGCAATGAGTTTCCTGAGAAGAATTTGTATTTTCTATTTATCTTTGTTCAAGTGAGCATTATAAATACCAGTCAATGAAGTTTATTGACTGAGTGCATAAATATACTCTGAACACTGTGACTCACACCCTAGGAAGAAGTATTTTTCAAATGGCCATATTCATGGGAGTTTTAATTGGAGGAAGAGATGGGGAGGGAGTAATAGCGGACGAATTCTGAAGAATGGAGTTCAGATAATTTTGTCTGTCACAGGGGAGTAAGTGGGGAAACAACAGCCTTTACAAAACAGATAACAGAGACCCAAAGGATAAGCTGTGGGTGGTCTAGTCAGCGATGAAAACAATTTTGAAAATAGAATAGCCACTAAAGACATCTAGCTCAATTTCTTTGTTATAAATACAGAAACTCGATACCAATAGCGACACACGGAGTCATTGGAAACAAAAAGCCAGCCTTCAGCCGCACTCCCTTCTTGTTCTCCTCTTTATTTTCTGTTTCCTCTACCCCTGTAGTTTCCTCTATCCCCCTTCCCCCCGCCATTTTCTGCTATCCCAACCCCCACCCCTGATACAGGGCATTGTGCTGACCCGTCTCTTTGCCCACTCTCTTTCAAAATGTGCCTGTTCTGGGCCCCTACATTGTCTGCAAGAGATAATCCAGTAATGACATAATCTAAGATGAGGTGATAATGATTCAGCCTAATATACCTGCCAGAGTTTTTATTCTCTTCACACCCACTCAGCCCTACTGCAAATGAGCCCCCTGAGATATTCACCAGCTGAAAAGCATCTGTGTCGTCCCTGACACTGGAACCTGACAAGGGTTTTGGGCATAAAAAGTGAAAGGGAACCTCCTGTTTGCGTGTCAACCTCAAGCTCAGCTGGCCATGGTGAGCGGGCCATTCTAAAGGAAAGTAGGAAAGAGAAACTGAAGCCCACAGGAAGTGGATCTGACATACACCCAAGTCAAAATGGCAAGGATGGGGGTGTGAGCATTGAGGTACCTGCCCCTGTGCTGTCCTGAGGAACCCAGGAAAGCCGGGGAGCTGAGAAGCCCAAGCTTAGACTGGCGCTAAGCTTGTTAGTCATGGATATGTCTCACCTGCCCAGGCAGAAAAGCCCAGCTGGGTGGCTGGTGTTCACATGAAGGATCAGCTTGCTTGAGGGATCTTGGAGAAAGCAGATCCCAGTTGAGCAGAGGCTGCCGGAGCATTCTGAGGAGGGCTCAGGTCACCCAAGGGCCATGCGGAGGCTTGGATGGTAGATGACCCACAGACAAGACCCAGAGGTGTTGGGCAGCCACGATGGTTGCCGTGTGGGCAGAGAAGGGACTGCTCCCCCTGTATTGTGAGTCCCTGGGCAGAGGGGAGCATCTGCTGCGGGAGGCAGAAACAGTCATTCTACAGGGTCAAACACATGCATCTCTAAAGGTGAAAGAGCACCTTACGAAATGCAGGTGTGGTTTCATACACATGAGGCAAGGCTGGGCAAGGAAGCAGGCTTGAGCTTGCTGCACGGCTGCCGCTGTGCCTCCTGGGATGGTCTGAGCAGCAGACCTCGAGGAGACTCGGCTTCCTTCTGAGTGTCAGACTGGTCCAGGGGCACCTGTTGGGAGGATGAGGCTCCCACTGAAACACACAGACTTCCGCTTTTGCCTTAGGGTGGGGCAAAACATCTGTACCCTGTACTTCCTGAAACCCAACATTCAAACTTTTTTAAGGGTCTTTGGGCCATCAACCCTCAGCCTGTCAGTGTGAAAAATGTCTCCTTTTCCTCAACACACACACGTACACAAGCACAGCCCCTTTTCAGTCTTGCCTGCAGTCGGGGTGCCAGCTTACATGGGGCAGGAAGTCCCAAGATAAAAGGGTTTCTGTGAGGATTTCAGAGGAGCAAGTTCTTCTGATTGTGGCTGGGGAAGACAAAGGACAGAGACTGGGAACCCAAGAGGGGAAGGTGACAGGGAGCAGCTGGAGGCTCACAGAGCAGCTGGTGCAAGTCCTGAGCTCAAACAAGGCAGTGACCCCAACCTAGCCCGGAGCACAAAGTGGGGTGCAGAAGACGGCCTACTGGGTGTAGGAGGCAATGGAGACATCTCTATTTACATTGGCTTTTTACTTCTTCCTTCAACATTGCATGTTTTGTAAGTAGGTAACACACTAGTTTAGAGGCACATGAATATATTTTATACAAATACACCTGTCTGCATTAGGACATATGTTCACATGTGGGGGTAACAGGGCATACCGGCAGTGGGTGCTGGGGGGCAGCTGCAGGGAGAGCTGGGATTCCTCTCTTCTAGCTCACAGTTGACCTGTTGCACACTCAGACTGACCAGTTGCCCCTGAGATATTCCTGAGCAAATCCCCATCACTAGACCCTGAACTGGGGTAAGTCTTTTGCTATAGGTGCGAGCCAACACGTTCCTGAGCATGGCATTTGCTCTCTTTGGGGATATGATATGTGGAGATTCTCACGTACTCTAAAAAGCCTGTCACAAAAAAATGCCACCCAACAGGAGATAAGGATTACACAAAATAAAACAAAACCACGAGGTAGTATAAACACCCCCTGGAGGAATCAATTAGCTATAAGAAAAAAGAGAATTACTCATCCTGGAGTAATTCAGCCACAGGCAAAGAGAGATCAGAACTGAGTGAAAAGCTAGATGTGCGCTTTTTAATAAATGGGGATACGGTTAGTCACCGGGGCCTCTTTTAAGAAAAATTTATTTCCAGTGGGTTGAGATCTGCACAAAACCAAGGGATTTTTTTGTTGCAACACTATTTTTCTTTTTGTGAACGTTTAACAGTGGCTAGAAATGGGAACAATTTCTATTTGGCATAAAGCAATGCATTATGATCTGTAGAAGCATTAAATAGTAACTCAACCCTTCAGCTTACCTTTGTAGGAGACGCTTCCAAGGTACTCCGTAACTTGGCAGGGAGTAAATGAGTTTAAAATTGTTAAGAAATCCAGGTAGGCCTTCCCGTAATCACTTTGGTATGTAGTCCGCCTCTTGGTGTGCTCTTGGTTCCTCATGTGGCTGGACGGCATGGATGGCACTGGGGGCACGAGGGAGGGGAAGAAATGCAGGCTGCCACTGAGCCAAGGACCGCTGCCCTTACTTGTGGCACATGCCCTGACAGCCCTGGGCCCAGCCTGGCGCTTAATCAGCATCCTCAGTGCCGCGAGGCACGCCAGCCCGCCTCCTGCCAAGGCTCCAGGCCGTACAGAGCTGCTGGGACTCGAGGAGGCTGCTGTTGGGAGGCCGGGTGATTGGGGAGGATGGCCAGAAGGTTGAGTTTGACCGCGGTTTTCAGAAAAGTCCCTCCCTGAAATGGACTCTCATGAAGTCAGCACGTTGGCTGCATTCACCCCAGGCTTAATAAACAAACCCCTTCAGAGAAGCTTCTTTCCCTTCATGCCACCTGCTGTGCAGACGAAGACTGCCACACTGAGGCACTCGGGGACCCAGCTGACTTAGGATGAGCAGTGATGACGACTACAGTCCGCACTCACTGCGCAGATCCACCCGTAGGAGGTGCAGGTAAAACCAAAATCACCTGATTTGGTTTGTTGATGCTGAATGTTCACTAAATGTGGGTTCTGATAGTCAGACAATTATCATGAAAAAAAAAAACAATGAAGACATGATATGAGAACCCAATTTCTACAACTTTCTCTGTCTTTGTAAACCTTAAGGATGCTTTAAATCTGCTCTTAGGTCCATGTGTCCACTTTAAAGGGACCCTTGGCCAGATGGAGGGACCAGGCTGGTGAGGGAACTTGATGCTACATTTACCCTGAGAAGAGTACTTGTAGGGTCCAGAAATGCATTAGGTGGAGAATAAAGGAGTGTATGATCGGGTGTTCATAGCATAACAGACGTATACTGGTTAGCCTCTGTGGGAGAGGTACAACTAACAGCTAGAAGTTTAGTGAGGCAGGTTCCAGCTGTTGAGAACTTTCCGACGGCTGGAGTGCCCAAGAAGGTGGGGGCTGCCATGGGGTGGGGCCGTCCCTTGCAGACTTGATCCAGGGATGATATCACGCACCTCGAGGATGGGATACAGGGGATGTGCACAGGACCTGAGGATTTGGACTAGGTAACTTCTAGGCTACCTCTAACCCCCAGATGTTAAGATCTATTCTGGGAATTCTATCTAAAGTACTACCTGATCCCAACTGCATTCCAGGAATAAATTGCTATCTCAGACTGATACCAAGTTATCCTCCTAACCAGTACCTCATAGGTGGCTTGCTCGTGGAACTTACAAAAACGTCTCTGTTGAAAGCAATAGGCATCAGGATCATAAAAAAACACTCTGACAGAATGGTTGCTAAATCTGAAGATGCTTGAAGGATATACCATGGGATAAACTTCCAGTGGATAATAGACAAATCTATTTGATTCTCTATCTAGTTTCTCTTGAGGTCACTTTATAGTAACTAAATCCTTTCATTTTAGGAGACAGAAGTGCCAACCCAACAACTACCCCTCCCAGGCTGAGGACATCCTCATGTCGTGACATGAGCAGTCTGTTCTCTTCTGAGACTCTCTCGGGTTCTGGGTTTGAGGTTAGGCCCTACACAGGGATCACTGGCATCCTGCTGCTACCAGATCGCCTGCCAGGCTCTCTGTGTTGAGGAATATTGGAGCAATTGCAGGGTGTCTGGAGTTGTGCCGGAGTTACAGGTATACTTACCTATACCCCGAGAAGGAATTGGCAGGCTTGAGTAGCATCCATATTTGAAACTGAAGTCCTGAAGCTCAGGAATTTTAGCTGGAATTTGGTAATTCCGTCGAAATTCAGTGTCTGCCGGTTGGGAAACTAACTTTCTCCATTCCACAGGCATCTGAGAACTTAGCTTCATCTTCTGAGCTGGGGTGGGGGTACAAACAGAAGGCAGTTGTTACTCTTTGTAAGCTATTTCTAAATAGCCTATTTTCATTCCATTTTGCTTCGGGTAATACTTCCATTTTATCACACTAAAATCTACTATTCTTGTGTTTAGAGTTATGATCAATATGCTTCTTATGGACATTATAAAGCAATAATTTTCTGCTTTATCAGGTGCAGGAAGTATATGGTCAAATGATTGGAAGTAGTTTCTAATGAATATGTTGCATGTCAGTGAGGAGCGCTCTCTGGTTCTGCTCGGTGGACACAGGAGGTTTTCCTCACTCCAGTAGGTCTGCTTAGTCTCTGGTGCAAAGGTAGGGAGCCCAGTGAGGGATTTATGATAAGGCCTAGGGTTGCCACATAAAACACAGGACAGCAGTTAAATTTGAATTTCAGCTAAACAATGTATAATTTTTTAGTATTTTTAGGTGTGTGCAGGTATGCATCATTTATGTACCATATATCATCATTCAGATTTAATTGAGCCTCCTGTGTTTTTATTTGCTGAATCTGGTGACCCTAAATGGGACCGTGCATATCATCCCCATTACCTGGAAAAGCACCGCTTGAAGCATATCCCTTACTGAGGGAAGGTTAGGTAATATCATTGTCATTAATGGTCAACAGCATTATTATGCCTTTTAAAAAAACTCTGCCAATAAATATTTGTTAAATATACAATCATTGCATATCCATCAAGCACTGACCAAATGCCAGATTCCACATGCACTACCAGATACCGAAGAGTCGCAAGCTATCTATCTCATTTAGAAGGAGTTAACCCCTAATTCTTGCAGCAAAGTATTGGTTCAGAGGCACATCATACGGCACCAACTTTCTTCAGGACAAAGATGTTAAAGATGTGAATTTCACAGTGTACGAACAGTGTCAATGACTACTGACATTAAACCCAATTCTTGTTGCAAATTAGGTTTTCAATAAATCTTTCCAAAATAAATCCGAATGTACATTGTATATAGAACCATATGTGATGTCATCCACTGGTACCCAAGAGCATTTTAAGACTGATTTTTTTAAAAATGGTCTTGATCTAGACTGGCATGGTGGGAGAGGGTTTCACTCCAGGCTGTCTCTTTACTTAGACAACTCGGGAAGAGAGGCCATGGGTCCCCTGTGGCTCTCATAATGACCTCGCAAACCACCTGAGGAGAAGACAAGGTTATAGAGAAGAGGAAAGCCTTCACCTCAAAATCAGGACATGCCTTAAGATATTTAGGAAAACCATCTGGTATTGCTCCTAGCTAGCATCATCTATACCCTGGATTCTGTATATTAATGACAACTTTATAGGAGAAAAGAAGGACTTATGCATATGCTTATCCCTCTTCCCTAGATCTACCATTTAGCAAATGTTTTCAGTTCCTATATGGGTTCCGTGCCAAGGTTAAAGATAATTAAGTCATTGTTCCACTGTAAGACAGCCTCAAATTATGCGATTAGTAAGATACACACAAGAGAAACAGATATGAAATATGTCTTATAACCACACTTGGAACTGTGACTGTCACACAGAGATGATACATCAGAATCACTTAGGAAGATTTTTCCTAAATACGTCTGCTGAACCTCGCCCCAGACGTTAAGAATCTCTAGAAGTTGGGACCCAGGCACTTCTATTGTGAACAAGTTTCCCATGTGCTAAAGAATCACTGACTCAGAGCCACTGAAGGAGGTGCTGCAGAAGCCCCAGAAACAGTGTGGTCAGTTCTGTTAGGGGAAGGAAAGGAAGACAAGCATGAAAAGGCAGCCACAGCAAAGGGGTGCTTGGAAATGGGTCAACACGGTAGCTAAAGGTACACAGTGTGTGTGTGAACTGCGCTCTGCCTGGCAGGGGTGCCCGGCGTGCGTGGCAGGGAGGAGTAGCTGAGGGTGAAGCATGGGAGGCAAGGAGAGAACCAGGCTGGAAAGGGTCTTGCTGGGCTGGTCCCTGGGGGTCAGGACGGGCCACACGGAAGTGGGGCAGCTGGAGATGAAGACCCAGGAGAGACAAACATCGGGCCCAGCACTACTCTGAGTTCTTCGGAGATAAAGTCTTATTCTTCATCGATCCTCCATACTTATCACAGTAATAGACCCCATTAAATATTTACCAAATTAATGAGTGAACAGAAGAAAAAAATTAGAAACATAATTGCTATGGGTTAATAATTAAACCGAACCATACTCTAGTGACTACCAATGTGATATGCGCTTAAGGTAACTCTTGGTTCTTCTCAACTAGTGCTTTTATTGTTTTTATACAATTTCATGTTAATGAGTTCCTCCAGCATTATTAAGAAAAGAAGTTCCTGATACACAGGGACCCAACCAACACCTGAAGTCCCGATACGGCCAATGATGTAGGGGACAGTCAAGACAACCGTGACACAGCTAATCAGGCCTCCAAGGCCTGGACTCCTCCCAGGGGCCACCCCTGCTCCTCAGGAGCGCAGGTCCCACTGGTTTCTTTACCACTTAAAACTGTTGGAGTGGTTATAGCCCAGAGAGGGAAACTGGCCCGCTTAAGGGTAGGTCTGGCACCGGCAGCAAGGCCCAACCCAGAAGTGAATCTACGGCAAGGACTATTCAACACCACTAGGACCACTGACACATAACCTAAAGCCACGTGAAACCGAGCTCCGCTGTCTTCTCTTCACCTGTTGTTCTAGTTCATCAAAGTCAATTTCTCCCAAATGAAAACAAGCGCCTTTTAGCGCTTCTCACTCATTCACCTTAAAGCCGTAATGAGGACACAAAGATAAGACATGGCCCCTAGGCTTCAGAAGCTTCAAGTATTAGAGAAACAGATACAGAAAAGATAATTACATTATTATGTGATTAAATGCTGCAAAAGAGGTAAGAACAGGATCTATAAAGACATGCAGGAGGGCCACCGGTCCAAACTTGGGGGATTGAGGAAGGCTCCTGGGAGAGAAGTGAAAGCTTACATTTGACTTACACTGTGGATAGACACAGGCTAAAAAGAAGGGAAATACGGTCCACAGGGAGGAAGCATATGTACAAAAGGCACAGGGCTCCCAGGGGGAATGGGGGCTCTGGAGGGTGAAAGTCAGTCTCCTAAGAGTGCAGGGACCGGCGAGGGGGAGTCTGGAGTGGTAAGCAAGGCCCATATCACACAGGACTCATAGTAAGGCACTTGGCTTTTATCCTGAGGACAATGGGGAGGCATTGAAGGGCTTTAAACTGGAAGGTGACATCAGTTTGCATGTTGGAAACTCCATATGGGTATAGTATGGACAGTGGATTGGAGGAGACAGAACTGGAAAAGGGTGTTGGATTAGAGGTCATCTGGTAAGAGACACTGATAGCCTGAACGAGGGCCGTGGCTTTGAGGGGGGGAGAAGCAGATGGGGTTCAGAGATTTAGGAGAGAGTCCTGACCAGTCTTGGTATTTATCTACACATGGGGAAACAGTGATTCGCTCATGCTGAAAGAACAATTTCCATTGAAAATTTCAAGACACCTTTTAATATACTGGCATTTCAAATATTTTTCCCTGACTCTAAATGTTTATCTGCAAGTATGGAGATCTTTCGGTCCCATACCCATCTAGCTTCAAAAAGTGTACTTTTCGTACGTTCTTTCCATTATTCAGAAAATATTTACAGAGCATCTCCTATATATCAGGGCTAGACGATATGTAATGCATTGTATTTTGAATGAATAAAGGCCTTTGCAGTGCTTACCGAATAATGGAGGAAAGAGCAAAACAAAAACAAAAGCATAGAATAAGTAAACAAATGACTGCAAAATGCAGTGTTAGAAAATAAAAAAACGAGGTGGTGGTGTGCTTTTGCAGATAAAATAACAGGGAAAGCTCTCACAGGCAAGGTGATGTTTAAGCTGGAGTCAACAAAGTGACAAAGCAAAAACACAGAAATAGCTGGGAGAGGAGCATTTCAGGCAAAAAGGGCAGCCTGTGCGCTGGGCAAAGCTGGAGAGGAAATTGGCATCTTTCAGGAATTGAGAACAAGGCCTATGTGGCTGGAGTCTAGGGAATGAGGGGGATGGAGCAAACAGGAAAGGTGGGGAGGTGAGCAAGGGCCAGCTCAGCCTTGCAGGACCTTATGAATGAACCAAGAAAAGGAACTGGAACTTGGATTTTCTTTATAAAGTGCAGCTGAAAGCCTGTGTGAAAGAAATCAATAGGGTAATATAATCCAATTTACCTGTGTAAAATATCATGTAGCTTCCATGGGGTGACAGAATTAGAGGGGCCTATAGGTACCATAGGAAGATTAGTTTCTAGCAGAAGAAGAAGATGATGACTTGTGACCCTCATGAGACTTCTGCTCTGTCCTCAAATATACAGAACTGGGGGTCTGAGAAGAGATTTGGGGAAGGACACAAACGTGGAAGTCCTCAGTTGCTCTTTAAAGGAACTGAAGTCTCTCAGGAACTCTGTTAGAGGTCAAATAGAAAAATGACCAGAAAGAAGCTAAAGAAGCAAGGAGAATAAAGAAAGTATGGTGTCCCAGAAGCCCAAAGAGAGGCGTGTTCAAGAAAGAGCAAGCAGCCAAAAATATTTAATGCTGCTAGGAAAAACATCTCCCTTGAAGGTCATTGGGGACCTTGACAAAAGTAGTTTCAATGACATGATGCGGGCAGAGAGCAGATTGGAAGGGGTTGGAAAGTTAGTGGGTGCGCAGTGTTTCCCATGAAACCCAATGGATTGTCTCTCTCCCTAGATGTCACCAGAATGGTAGTCGATGAGAGGTTAGCACATTTTTAAAAGATGGAAACCAAATGGAGATGCAGCAATTGAATTAGCAAAGTAGAGGAAGCTGCAACTAAGTGCATAAAGGGGTAACAAAAAAGTGAGTTAATCTACAGAATTCCTAAAGGTTTCTGTAACAAGCTTTGCATGAAAACTTATATGCAGAGTGGTTAGAGTTCCCTGGATCACCTTCTTAACTTCATGCCATCATATGTGTATCCCTTCTAAATAGAAGTTTATTCAGCAAAAAATTGAACCCAAGAAGCTCTGGATTAGGGGAAACCAGGCACAAAAGAAGGCAAGGGTAGGGAGATAGTGGACTGGAAAAAGAGGGGTCCAGTGAGTCTGCAGCAAGCAGGAAGATCCCAGTCCCTTCCCTAATCCCGCTCTCAGAACGTCAAGAGCCAAGTGTTTACCTCTCTGGAGAAACTTGTCTACAAATAATGGCATTTTAGGGTTTCTCAACAAAAAGAGGGCTTATCACCTACTCAGTGAAGTCAAGCACCAGCTAACAAACCCCATCTCTGTACACAGTCTCCAACCATATTCGAGTATCCCGAAAGTTTTTATGAACCATAGAGATTAATATTTTTGGTGCACCCACTTAAAAAATAAAAGACCACTGAAGTGAGACAAACCTTATTAGCATCACAGTAAATATGCCACTATTCCCTTATAAATATGAACAGAAAAATAAGCTTATACCGGACCATTAAAACATGGAGAAAACAGAAATGATGCAAGAAACAGATGAAAATACTGAAAACTAACTATATAACAAGTGCCCTAAACTTTATAAGAGAATTACTAGATGTATAAAATAAGAATAGAATACTGTTTTTAAAAAATAATCAGAGAGAGGAAGAAAGAGAGCTTGGAAATTAAAACTTCCATAGAAGAGTTTTAAAAAATTAAAAGTAAAGAGTTTTCCAAGTAAACAACAAAAATACAAAGAGAAAGGTACTACGAGAGAAAAGGTAAGAAAACAGAGGATCAACTCAACTAACAAGAGTCCCAGAAGAGAACAGAGTAAAGAGATGGGAGAAAAGTAGGAAAAGACCATACAGGTAACAATTCCAAGATTTGAATGACATGAGTCTCTGGATTAAAAAGGCCCCTGATTGTCCAACAATGAATGACAAAAGATTCTCACTACTGCTTACAATCATGAGTTTTAAAATGTCAGGAATAAAGAAAGGATCTTGAGAGCTTCCAGGAAAGAAAAATACAAAAGGGTCAGGAATCAAAATAGCATCAGACCTCTTTAAGGAAATCCTGAATGCTAGAAGACATTGGAGGAATGCATTTTGAGATTTTGAGGGAAAATGATCATCAACCTCGAATTCTATATCTAGCCAAACTATCAAACAAGCATAAAGAAGAAAAGGACATTTCTGAATTGGGAAGAACACACTCAAAATAGCTCGGCCTGTGCATCCTTTTTTAGGAGGCTACTTGAAGATGTGCTTCAGCAAAATGAGGGAGTGGGGACAAGAAAGGAGAAGACAGTGACCCAGGAAATGAGATCCAACCCGGAGAGAGGACAGAGAAAATCTCAGAATAATAAAAAAGGAATTCCCAGAGCACAGTTGGGCAGCCTGCCACTAGAAACCAGTCTAGATTAGAGGAGAATGATGCAGGTGTCAGAAGATTCCCAGGAAAAATACTAGAACTGATAGCATGTGTGAAACTGCTTGGAAAAAAAAATTGGTAAATGTGTGACAAAGTATTGGGAAAAAATTAATGATAGGCACATAGAAAACAGCATATGAAAAAAAATCAATTATTAACTCGGCTAAAAAACAAATTAAAGAAGAAAACAAAAAGGAAACAATCATAAAATACCACCTGGCTCAGCAGTAAATGTTTACAAGTCATAATATGTTATCCTAATTATAATATAAAAAATTGAATTAACAAAAATTTGTAATAGAATTATTGAGAGGATGGATGGAAGGGGAGTGAGAAAGAGTGAAAGGATGACCAAATCCTCAACTATCGTAACAGTAAGTCAGTAGTAATGTCTAAAATTGATGAATCAAAAAACACAATATAAGAACATTATTTTAAAATGTTGAGGATCACTTGAGGAGAAACAGTAGAAAGGACTGACATTGTAGAGAGGGGCAGGTCAAGAAATGCTATTGCTTTGTGATAAGCCTTTATGTTAACTATTTGATGTAAGTACCTGCATATGTTAGTTTAATAAATGTATTTTTTTAATAGCAAGCAACACTTTAAGGATTGGGAGTAGTATGTTTGACTTGACCCCTTCATCTTTGCCTGGTTTATTTCTTCTCATCCTTCAGACCGAGGAAGCATTTCCTGACCTCCCACCCCACGTTAGGCTAGATGTCCTACTGTTGGCACCCACAGCACCCTGCATTTCCCACAACATGCACTTTTTTAAACTTGACTGCTTTTCTTAGTTAAATTTCCTTTTTCTGTATCTATATTGTGAGTTCTTGGGGGAAGAAAACACATCTATGTTGCTCACCACTGTGACTCCAGTGCTTAACACATTGCCAGGAAAAGGAGAAAAATGAACATGTTTACCTTTCTCTCTGTCCACAAAGTCCCTTCTAGCATTGGAAACAAACTGATTGGATATCGCCTTCTTAATGTCTTCCATGGAAGCAGTGATTTTCCAAGGGAAGTAGCTCTTTATTGTTGTTTGAGTTTGAGGGAGTGTCCAGAGAAAGAAGTCCTATCAATACAAACACAATTTTCAAGGAAATCTATCTACATTCTCCTAATGAAGGAAGAATAGGTGTGCTTGTGGGACACATTCTTCTGAGTCCTTTACAGCCACCACACCACAGTTGCCATGTATGCAGAAGCCTGTTAGCAGGAGCCACTGTTTACGCAACTGTAACATAGGTACTGTGTCGTTTCTTTGACTTTTCACGTTGATGACAAGAGAATGTGATTGCAAAGTCCAGAGAAATGTGGCTCCAACCAGAAATCTCCAGACAAGACTAGAGGAGGAGAAGATGCGCGTCCATTGTAGCTTTATCCGCATGTGCCCAAGAGCAGCTGCTTCCCCGCAGAGCCCCAGGCCCCAAGGGACACCCTGCCTTGCCGCCGAGGCCTCAGACGCTCCTGCAGGATGGGAGGGCCCTCTCTGCTCTTTGCTTCCAAAGAGACTGGGTGGCCGTGAAGCTTGCAACCTCCGCCACCTCTTTCCATCTTCCCTGTCTGCCATGACTTTGCTTCCTCTCTGAGAGAAATTGAAGCCATATGAAGAGAACCTCCACAGCCCACCATCTCCGGCCTCCACATCTGCACCCACCCAGGCTGCGACAGGAGAGGCCAGGCACCCCCGCCAGCCCCTACACCAGAGCCCACTGCGTTTAGTCCACTCCAGCACTCACCCAGCAATTCTCCCTTCTCTCCAGAAACTTCCATTTCGCCCCTTCTGTGGGGTGCTGCCAGGCTTGCCCTCATTCTTAAAAAGAAAACTTCCCTCTGCACTCTGCTTCCCCTCTAGTTACTAAGATGTGACTCAGTTTCCCTAGACACTGAAAGGTCTCAAAATAGTTACATACACACGCTGTCCCAAATTCGTCTTTCAAGTCTCTTTTAATCTTTAGGTTCCTCCTCATGCCCTTCTTTCCAGCAAATGGGGCCACGCACAGAATCAGCTGCAGGGTCTCATGACCACTTGGCAAGTCCTCCTGGCGTCCATCCCGTTTCCCCCACCTGCCCACCGCTCCATGCACCCAAGCTGCTGCAGATACGGGCCCCCGTCTTCCAGCACCCTTCCCTGAAGGAGCTCCAGGCCGCCCGTCTGCATTTTACTGCCTCGGCAATGATCCTCCCTTGTTCCCGAGCAGCAGGTCCTCTCAGTGGAGGGAGCACCTTGCTAGTCTCGTCCAGGTCCTAAGCCACTGTCAAAACTGTTTAGCAGAAAACAAAATAAATGAAAGCTAGAGAATCCTCAGCAGAGTGAACAATGTACCAGGACACGAGCGGAGCTGGGAGGGTCTGCAGTCAGGCCTGGGAACACTCATTGGTTGACAGTGCACTGAGCCTGTCAACCACATGAGCTCTCATTGGCTGAGAGAGCAAGGGGCACCCTACCATGCTCGCCCCTCATAGGTCAGAGAGCCTTCAGTAGCACTTTAAGGGGAAATAAGCTCTGTGTGCTCGTGTGTATGTGTAAGCATAATATTGCAACCAACTATTTTACATTAATTTAAAAATCTTGAGAATATTTAGGAGGTAAATAGATTATAATGAGTGGGTGCCATGAGGAACCAAGTTACATGGTGTGTGTGTGACTGTTCTAATGACTCCCATCTACATCGACAGCTCACCTCTTCCACGCGAGCTCCAGACCTGTATCTTCAACTGCCTTATTGGACATATGCTCAACCAGCATATCTTCAACTGAACTCCCGTTTTCCCCTTTGCTTTCCCCACCAAACCTGGTCCTTCCTCATGTTCCTGCTCAGCAAACAGTACCAGCATATGTCCAGCCTTCCAAGTCAAAAACAGGACCATCGCCTTTTATTCTATCTTCTTCCTTGTCATTTGCATCCTTTCATCCATCAAATGCTATCCTTTCCACTGCCTTCTTATCTCCTGAATGCATCGAGGTGGCACCTTTACAGGTTAGAGATAAATGTGAGGGTGTGGACAAAAAACTAGTCTAAGAAAGAGCATAAATCTCTAGATGAGGAAGGATCTTTGGGATATATTCAAAATCTCATTCCTATGGCTTATTGATACAGTATTAAATTCAACACATATGTAGATATTATCTTACTTGGTTAGAGTGAGATTTGTGGCTCTTCATTCCTCTTGAAACCCCAGTTTTGATGAAATCGTCTTTAGAATATGATTTCCAAACGTATTCATCATTGTAGTGTGTCTGATTGGGAATGGGATCACTGAGAGAATATGTATATCCTAATCTTCTGATACTCTTTTGACTATAAGAAAAGATAGTATATATATTAGAATAAGGGATTAAAGATCAAATCTCACAACAGAACACATGTCAAATAATTTAACTCTTTAACATTTTTTGAAAGATTAGCTAGATTGATCCCAGAAATAATTTCATTTCCAGATTGCCCTGAAAAGAAATAATCAACTGTTTACGCAACTGTAACATAGGTACTGTGTCGTTTCTTTGACTTTTCACGTTGATGACAAGAGAATGTGATTGCAAAGTCCAGAGAAATGTGGCTCCAACCAGAAATCTCCAGACAAGACTAGAGGAGGAGAAGATGCGCGTCCATTGTAGCTTTATCCGCATGTGCCCAAGAGCAGCTGCTTCCCCGCAGAGCCCCAGGCCCCAAGGGACACCCTGCCTTGCCGCCGAGGCCTCAGACGCTCCTGCAGGATGGGAGGGCCCTCTCTGCTCTTTGCTTCCAAAGAGACTGGGTGGCCGTGAAGCTTGCAACCTCCGCCACCTCTTTCCATCTTCCCTGTCTGCCATGACTTTGCTTCCTCTCTGAGAGAAATTGAAGCCATATGAAGAGAACCTCCTCCACAGCCCACCATCTCCGGCCTCCACATCTGCACCAACTCAGGCTGCGACAGGAGAGGCCAAGCCCCCCCTCCCCCAGCCCCTACACCAGAGCCCACTACGTTTAGTCCACTCCAGCACTCACCCAGCAATTCTCCCTTCTCTCCAGAAACTTCCATTTCGCCCCTTCTGTGGGGTGCTGCCAGGCTTGCCCTCATTCTTAAAAAGAAAACTTCCCTCTGCACTCTGCTTCCCCTCTAGTTACTAAGATGTGACTCAGTTTCCCTAGACACTGAAAGGTCTCAAAATAGTTACATACACACGCTGTCCCAAATTCGTCTTTCAAGTCTCTTTGATTCTTTAGGTTCCTCCTCATGCCCTTCTTTCCAGCAAATGGGGCCACGCACAGAATCAGCTGCAGGGTCTCATGACCACTTGGCAAGTCCTCCTGGCCTCCATCCCGTTTCCCCCACCTGCCCACCGCTCCATGCACCCAAGCTGCTGCAGATACGGGCCCCCGTCTTCCAGCACCCTTCCCTGAAGGAGCTCCAGGCCGCCCGTCTGCATTTTACTGCCTCGGCAATGATCCTCCCTTGTTCCCGAGCAGCAGGTCCTCTCTCTTAGTGGAGGGAGCACCTTGCTAGTCTCGTCCAGGTCCTAAGCCACTGTCAAAACTGTTTAGCAGAAAACAAAATAAATGAAAGCTAGAGAATCCTCAGCAGAGTGAACAATGTACCAGGACACGAGCGGAGCTGGGAGGGTCTGCAGTCAGGCCTGGGAACACTCATTGGTTGACAGTGCACTGAGCCTGTCAACCACACGAGCTCTCATTGGCTGAGAGAGCAAGGGGCACCCTACCATGCTCGCCCCTCATAGGTCAGAGAGCCTTCAGTAGCACTTTAAGGGGAAATAAGCTCTGTGTGCTCGTGTGTATGTGTAAGCATAATATTGCAACCAACTATTTTACGTTAATTTAAAAATCTTGAGAATATTTAGGAGGTAAATAGATTATAATGAGTGGGTGCCATGAGGAACCAAGTTACATGGTGTGTGTGTGACTGTTCTAATGACTCCCATCTACATCGACAGCTCACCTCTTCCACGCGAGCTCCAGACCTGTATCTTCAACTGCCTTATTGGACATATGCTCAACCAGCATATCTTCAACTGAACTCCCGTTTTCCCCTTTGCTTTCCCCACCAAACCTGGTCCTTCCTCATGTTCCTGCTCAGCAAACAGTACCAGCATATGTCCAGCCTTCCAAGTCAAAAACAGGACCATCGCCTTTTATTCTATCTTCTTCCTTGTCATTTGCATCCTTTCATCCATCAAATGCTATCCTTTCCACTGCCTTCTTATCTCCTGAATGCATCGAGGTGGCACCTTTACAGGTTAGAGATAAATGTGAGGGTGTGGACAAAAAACTAGTCTAAGAAAGAGCATAAATCTCTAGATGAGGAAGGATCTTTGGGATATATTCAAAATCTCATTCCTATGGCTTATTGATACAGTATTAAATTAAACAGCTATGTAGATATTATCTTACTTGGTTAGAGTGAGATTTGTGGCTCTTCATTCCTCTTGAAACCCCAGTTTTGATGAAATCGTCTTTAGAATATGATTTCCAAACGTATTCATCATTGTAGTGTGTCTGATTGGGAATGGGATCACTGAGAGAATATGTATATCCTAATCTTCTGATACTCTTTTGACTATAAGAAAAGATAGTATATATATTAGAATAAGGGATTAAAGATCAAATCTCACAACAGAACACATGTCAAATAATTTAACTCTTTAACATTTTTTGAAAGATTAGCTAGATTGATCCCAGAAATAATTTAATTTCCAGATTGCCCTGAAAAGAAATAATCTTGTATTTTAGGAAGGTTCTTAACAAAAGTATGGGAGGCCTAACATGAAATTTAAAAGAATAAAAATTTGAAATTCATTAATTTAAAACATTTTTTTGAAGAGCTGAGTACTCTCTTGTATAAAATAGTGCTTCAGTGTTATAGAATACTTGAAGTTTCTCTCTATAGAGATATTCCAGTCTATAGAAAGAAATAAAATAATTAGGATATAACTGGTTTGCAAGTATCTAATGAAATCAGGCATCTAGGCAATGATCAGTGATTGCCATTCACAGTTCAAAAAGAGGGACCACTAGACATTATTTACTCTGGATGGGGATACACAACACCACCTATTAAATATTTTTGTCAAAATACCCAACCTGAATCAGATGAAGTCTTTGGAATCTCAGATTACAAGAAATAGGTGAGAGGAGGAATATTTTAAATGACATGGTGGGGATGAAATCATAAAACTCCAGAACAGTGATCTGTTTCTTCAACAAAGAAATTTTTGAAAAAAGAGGGGAAACCTGTAGATTAAATTAGGTAAGAGTCATAATAACCAAATGCAATGACTAGACCTTATTTGGATTCAATTTCTAACCAACTGGTTTTTTTAAAATTATGAGACGATTGGGGGAAGTTTGATTGCTGATTGGCCATTTGATATTAAGGAATTGCTTTCATTAAGTGAGAAATGGTATTGTTACATGTTTATAAAGATTTGTTATCTTTTAGAGAAACACAAGAAATATTTGGAATTTAAACGATACAATGCCTGGAATTGCTCCACCATTATCCAGTGGGAAGGTTGGGTGGAGGGTATTCATAAAAGTGCCCATGTATTGTCGATTATTATAGTTAGGCGATAGCTGGGGGTTCATTGGATATTCCTTTGTATGTGTCTAAAATATTTCATATTGTCTTTTCTTAAAAGAGGTCCGGGTTAGACTGAGATTAAGTCTGTAAGAAATCAAACATCTGGCGAGTGGGGCATATCTGGATGATGGACTATTTTACTTGTCACTCAGATGTGTAGCGTCAAGCAGGACCATGGTCCTAAATCCAACTGAAGTAATCAAAGGTACATGATGATTTGCCAAAGGGACTCAGCACAAGACCCCTGGAAGGAATCCATTTTCATATCTCCATTTCTCAATATGCTCTTTCTTAACGTGTATCTGCCTGAGAACAAATGGGCATATCTGAGCAGGGTTTTCCTTCCCCCACTTCTTTCTCCCTTCCCCATCTCACTGTAAGATTTTACTAAAGTGCATCACACGTCAAGTCATAAGAGGGGTGCCCAGTGAAGGGGAACTTCCATAGTGTTTTCAGCAATGCCACTGCCACCTTGCAATCCAATTGCCTAGGGCTTGCCATCCTAGGTCCTCCATGTTTCTGAGAGAGGTTCCAATGGTGCTCCAACCAGGGCATGATGGCCTCTGTGGGGATGCTCTGAATTTAGGTACATTGCAGAGTACTGTGGCTGAGAGTAACATCTAGTTTTCATCTCCTAATAACTATAAATTGTTATCCCTCTTTTGGGAGAATTCTTGAGAGCAAATAATACAGAATGCTTAAAATGTCTCTTCTTTTCCCCCATATTTAAAGATAAGCATTTTGTCAGCTTTAAAACAAAAATCCCTAGGACACATTACTATCTGGAAAGAGAGACATCTTTGAGTAGATGGAAGCATTACAGGGTGGTGACGCTAATTCTTTTAAATATAACTGGAATTTTCTCTGAGACTACCAAATTTTAAAAGATTTACTGGATAAAAGTGGTACCTAAAAATCTTATGATTTTTGTTTCAGGTTTTGTGTTCATCATTTGAAAAGGCATTTCAATCTTATTTTTAAACCCAGTTATATTAGAAATATTTACTCCAGTATAACCATTCCTCACTTTATTTTATGCTGGAAAATATTGAACAATACATGAAACTATATGCTGGTTTGCCAGAACAATTAATTTTCACTGTATATAACTTTCCCTTTCATTAAACACATAGTGAATGTTTACTTTGTGTCTAAAGAATTCAAGAAATTATTTCTGATTTTTAGACATTATTATTTAATTTTAATTTTATTCCCCAAGTCAAGCACCAGAGTTCTACACATATTAGGATCTCTTTAATTAAGGAACATTGCATTTTTTTTGTCAGACTCCTTACTTCACAGATAACTTACATATTTAGCTACACATTTCATTGCAATATTTTTATTACTTGGGTATAATTAATCATATTAAACCTGAATCTTTGCCCACTTTCCCTGTCTACTTTTAGTAATCTCCCCTAAAATATGCATGCCATAATTTATGAGTAGTTGTCATAATATTCTTCAAAACATATATTAACATTTATGTGAACTAGAAGTGTATTTGGATTTTATTTTGATAGGCAGTAAACCTAATATCACTTAGGCTTAACAACAAGGGCTGATTTTACCAACTAAGTAAACATAGTATAAGTTGCATGAGTTAAATCTTCATCTCCAAGATTTTGATAAAAATATATTTGAAGTATGTGTGACGACAAAACCATTTTTGTAAAAAAAAAAAAGCTTGTATTGGAAAACATTTATTGAAATTAATGTCCCTATTTTCCAAGTCCCTTTGGGTATATAATATTAAATAAGACAAGATGATGTCACCAAGATAGCAGCATAGGTCAGTCCTGACTTTGCTCCGCACCCCAGGAGAGCAACTAACAACTATTCAAGAACAAGACACTCCTGAGAGGATCCTAGAACACAAGTGTGAGGCTGAGGCACCCTCTGAACCAGACCAAGAAAGATCGCGTCAGAAGCTAAGAGAAGCCGCTACACGTTGACGCTGACCGTGTCCCCCTTCCTCCAGGCAGGTGCAACCAGGCAGAAAGGTCTTCCCTGAGCCTCTGGTCCCTCAAGTGGAAAAAAAGAACAGAGAAGCCAGCCAGCCCCCCATCACTGGGGTTACTTTTTGGGAACCCCTATTCCGACTTCAAGCCATTGTATTTCAAGGGAAATGCAAGGGGCCCGGCCAACTGGGAATCTGACTGTGACGGAGAGGAGAGGGCCTCGCAGCAGCCGACACATGGATCTTGGCAGAGACTTCATACGTGCTGTGGCCAAGGAGAAAACCCAGCCGACTTTGTTCACCTGCAGAACCGAAGCGGGCATGTGCTCTGATCAGGGACCTCCGAGGGGTGCAGATGTGCCTGGTTCAGATTCAGATCTTCAAATGAGAAGTTTTGCTGGCCCTCGCGCCCAGTCTCCCTGTGCCTGGAAAGGGAGCCGAGACTCCCTCACCCACTGGGGAAAAGGTGTCTCTGGCCCAAGCTGGCCAGAAGGACTGGCCACAGCCCAGTGGCGCTCTGGCTTAGAGTAGAGCAGTCAGAGCCGACAGCTTGCAAAGCCAGGCCAGGGGACTCGGGTGCGGTTCTGCTCGAGTTCAGACAATAAAGAACCTTACCAGTTTTAGAGCTGCTTCTCCCGCTGTGCTCAGCAGGGAGTCTAATTCCCAGCACCGCTGATCACTGAATGCAGCCTTCAGCCTGTCCGATCAGGGACCCTATCCAGAGCCCATGGGAAGCTGCATAGCCCACCCAACAGCCCTGGGCATGGTGGCACTCGGACAGAGGGCAGTCTGTGGCTTCCCCCATCTGAAGAGCAAAAGCAGTGGCCTTACCTGGCCAAAGAATATTAGGACACAATGAAAAGAACAATAGTCACATTGTAAGAATTGTAGAAAAAGAGAAAGAGGAAGGGATAAGAGTCTATTTAAAGCAATAATGGCTGAAAACTTCCTGAACCTGGGGAGAGAAATGGACACCTAGATCCCTGAGGCCCAAGGGACCCCCAAAGAGGTTGTATCTGAATAGGGCTACCCTGAGACATATCATAATTAAATTGTCAAAAAACAAAGACAAAGAAGGAATTTTGAGAGCAGCAAGAGAAAAGAGAGAACTTACATACAAGGGACCTGCCACATGACTTGTGGGTAAATTTCTCAACAGAAGCTTTTCAGGCCAGGCGAGGTTGGGATGACATGTTGAAAATATCGAAAGAAAATGAAGAATCCTATACCTGGTGAGGCTGTTTTTCGGAAACAAAGGAGGGATAAAGGCTTTTCTAAGCAAAGGAATTGAACAGACATTTTCTCCAAAGAAGCTACACAAAAGGCCAAGAGGCACGTGAAAAAATGTACTATATCCTAGTCATTTAGGACATGCAAATTAAAACCACAATGAGACATCATCTCATGCCTGGTAGGATGACCACCATCCAAAAGACAAGAGAAAACAAATGCTGGCATGGATATGGAAAAAACCCTCATCACTGTTGGTGAGATTGTTAATTGGTGAAGCCACTAGGGAACACAGCACGGAGGATACTCCAAAAATTAAAAACAGAACCACTGTATGATCCAGCAATTCCACTTCTGAGAATATATACAAAAGAAATGAAAACACTAACTTCTGATATCTGTACTCCCATGTTCATAGCAACATTGTTTACAATAGTCAAGACCGAGAAGCCACCTAAGTGCCCATCAATGGATGAATGGATAAAGAAGTTGTGGCACAGGTAACCTTTCTAAAGTTTGCATTACACCACTCGGCTTTTATGAACGATCCATGGTAGCACCTGTTTTCGCTACACAAAAGAAATCCAAAGAGGATTTTTGCTTCATGAAGAAAGGTGAAAAGCAAAAATATTTGTTTTGCAGCACACTGTTATAAAGGCAGCACCCCCTGCAAGCAGGGGGAATGGTCCCACCACGCTGCTTCCCCAGAAGCTGCACTCAGCATCTCAGCATCAAGCTGTCGTACTTTTAAACTGTGTCTTTGGGAAACTGTGCTTTATCTCAATTTATTTTGTACATCTGTTAGTAAGATGTGTCCTAAGGTATCAGAAAAGCTTAAGGGAGGTTATTTTTTTGGGTCTGAGAATGCTCAAAATATTTCCCACATAAATTAATGGTAATTGCTTTTTCACTTTACACTATTTCAGCTTATAAAAGATTTCATAGGAATGGTCTACTTTCAGATGTATGTATATATGGAATATTATTCAGCCATAAACAAACAAGGAACTCCTGCCATTCGCAACAACATGAATGGGCCTTGAAGGCATTACAGTAAGTGAAATGAGTCAGACGGATAAAGACCAAGACTGTACGATCTCACTTATATGTGGAATCTACCAGAAAAGAAAAAACGTAGAAAAAGAGGTCAGTCTTGTGGTTACTAGAGGCAGAGGGTGGGTAGAGGGGGAAGTGGAGGAAGGTGGTCAAAAGGTATAAACTTCCAGCTACAAGAAAAATAGGTACTAGGGATCTAATGTACAGTATGATGGCTACTGTTAACACTGAAGCATGATAAAGAGGAAAGTTGTTAAGAGAATAAATCCTAACAGCTCTCATCACACGGAGAGAATTTTCTTCCCTGTTTTTTCTTCTTCCTTTTCTTTTTATTGTATCTGTACGAGAAGATGGATGTTAGCTGAACCTATTGTGGCAATCATTTCACCATGTATATAAATCAAACCATCATTCTGTATACCTTAAATGTATGCAGTGATGTATGTCGATTATTTTCTCAATAAAACTGGAAAAAAATTAAACAAGTTTCTTCCCAGTGAAAGAGTAACAGACGTAATGTAGTAGTCATTTATTAAGACGTGCCTTTTCTGGTTACTTCTCAGAAAATCAGATAGGGAATAACTGAATAACTAGATGACAAATCATCTAATTCTTTGCTTTCAATAAAATTGAAGGCATACCCAAGCAGGTTGTCAGCCAATCAGTCATTAAAAATCACCTTATTACTTTTGGTGGGTAACTCAAAGAATTCAGAGCCCTGAATGACCGTGCTGCACTAATGGCCTTTCATTCACCTATTTGTGAACAAGGTTTCTCAAACTAGCATCTATAAATTGAAAAGAGAGCAGCAGAAAAACAATTGACACTGAATGCACTCTCATTCTAAAAATAACACTCAAAACTGGATACAAAAACTAATTAAAAACAGAGCAGCCCTGTCTGTCTCATTAAGATGCAATTCCAAAAACTTTATTTTTTGTGTTTAGTAATTATTAACATTTGTAATGTATTTATTGCCTTGAGCAATTGTTTACTAAAATTAATTATAACTCAGTCACATAACATGTTTAAAATTTAATTTCAATTAATATATTAAGATAGTTGGAAAGAAGCATAATGGAGTGATCAGTAAATTGCTTTCAAACACAAAATATAATACAACAGAATAAAATTCTATAGAGAAAATGGAGTGGGAATAAGAGTTCAAGAAGGAAAAGTAAGGAAATAAATTACCTATTAAAGAAGAATTTGTTCATATACTTTTTTTAAAGCATCATAGTTAGAATCAGTTTGCTAAGGTGTTCAGATTACCCACTGGTTATATTTAAATAAGTGACTTACTATTATAAAATGTTAGTATTTGGGGTGGACAGGAAGTTTTATCTTTTGCAACTATTTGTTTTTTGTGAGTACTTTTTATTTTTCTGAAGGATAGGAAGTAATTCCTCTCTGAATCTTTTGAGTATTTTACATGACTTTTGTGTAATCATTTATTCAACACAGTTATATCTAGTTTTTGCAACTATTTTAACTTACGATGAAAAACTTCTTTGTGAACTTAAAAAATATGTGAATTTGAAGACCACTGACCTAGACTCCATTAGTACGCATTTGGCTTTTCTCTCACATGTTTTCAGACAACTGTCACTATCTGGGAAGCTGGCATCATCATTACTGTGAGATAATAAACCTCCCAGTTAGAAGACATAATGTGACTCAGTAGAATGACCAATAAAAAGCTCAGAAATTAGGGGCCTTGAAGCCCTGTACTTTCTGGAAGTCTATCCCATATGCTGGGGGAAAATGAGTGAAAAACTTTTGAGTAACTGCATTTCGCTAGTTGCTATCTTACTGTTTTCATCTTGGCCTCAGGACCATAGGTAGAGTTCATCATTCCCCCCTCGCCAACCATTAAACCGAGCCACGGATGGCTTGTTATTTGCCTAGGGTAGCAGAATTAAAAAGGGTTGGAGCCAGGAGCTGAGATCAGAGCCCACGTCTGCATTTGCGTTTTCAGTATCTTGAACTTTTAAGATGCAAGTATCCTCTTTATCGGAAACAATTCACAGAGTCAACACAGGCAAGTGAAGTTTATCCCTGCTGATCTCCCACCTACTGTTGGTTGAGGAGCAATGACGGGGTTTCTGCGTCCCACTCTCGTTCACCCACCCGTGAGTTTACTGAGACAGCTGATGGATAGAAATACCCCCCACCTGAAGTTCAGGAGGAATCGGAGAACTCACAAGCCGGCGCCGCCTTAGGCAGCAGTAACTGGGGGAGTGAAGGTCAGGGTGAGGGATTGTGGCCTTCGTCTTGCTTCCCAGAGTAGCATCGGTCGTGGAAGTGCTGACAATTCTCCATTCATCATTCATTCAGCTGTCATTGCCTGCCTGCTCTTCATGCGGTAGCGGATTCCTTCCTGCTCTCTGTTTAGATAGCACTGTCCTATCAACCTGCATGCTGGCTCTGCTGTAAAGCACGATACACAGTTGCTTTGTCAAGGGCCCATGTGTTAATATTCTCAGTTTTCCTGTAGGAGGTTTGGACACCATTTGAAGGGGGATCCCTTTCTGGAGTTTGGAGGGGAGCTGTGCATGCAATAGGTACTACCTGAGTACATTTTTTATAAATCTGTTTATTTTTTCCTTTGGTTTTGAATTCTGAATAACAGAAGACGGGTGAACAGATTACAGTCTGTGTATCAATCTGACACAAATGGGGACCTACCGAATTAGAGCAGGCGCTGCTTCTGTCTTAGGAGTGAATGCTGTCTTCACTGTGGTGGCATAGGAATCCCAGCTGGTGTCTCCTGCTGAAAGTACAATAAACAGTTCAAAATATGGCATACCAGACTCTTTTGATCAAACGTTTCAGTAATTAAAGTGGTTTTGCAAGAGAGAAATTTTTGGATAATATCTTAGAGTCTAAAGAAATAAAGGCCAACTTGTGGCCTCTATTAGGAAAGAGGGGAAGCTCAATTTAATTATCTGAGTTCCTCCCCTAAATAAAACAGGCTGATGGCTTTTTTCTTGATAATTTGTACATACTATTTTAAGAGTTCAAGCATTATGTTCAAAGCAGGAAGCTCCTTTGAAATGCTATCATTTTTAACATGCCTACTACAAGTGTTTCAGTAACCAATTTTTTTATGCATCTTATTAGATACATCGATGAACGCGTGAAATGGTTTTACATAAAGGGGCTCACAGGTCACATGTCAGGTTTTATGCTGGGCACCTTCTCCTCGTGCCTCCCTCTTTCGGTTCATTATCACCCTCCCCCTGGGTAGTTCTTGTTAACAGCTGTACCTCGTTCTGTCCATATTTATATACCTGCTGGTGCACTTACACAGAGATTTACATATGCATGTATATTTGTATAATGTATAGAATTCTATTATTTGCAATATGCATAATGTACAATATACATTGTAAATACATATGTACATTGACTGTTGGGTCTTAGCTCTCACCATTTTGTTTTATGAAATAGGCTTTTATTTCACACAGTGTCCCTTTCCTTCCGTCTGTCACTTGACAGGGTTGTATGGGAGACTCGTCTGGTGTAGCTCTGATTCATTCTTTGTAATGATTGTGCAAGATTCTGCAGCAGGTGTGTTATGCCAAGGTGGACGGGGTGGGGGGGGTGAGATCAACAAGAAGGGAGTATAGTTAGAGGAGATGGAGTCCAGAGGCCGAAGCCTGGGGCGCGTCAACATCAAGAGACTGGGGAGATGCGGAGGAGCCAGGCAAGGAGGCTAAGAACGGTCAGTGAGGCGAGAGGAAAACCGGGAGCTCGTGGGGTCCCAAAGGCCAAAGGAAGAAAGGGCCTCCAGGAGGTGGGAGGGGCTCCCCCTGGTTAGTGCCGCTGGCGGGGTGCAGGAGGCTGAGGCTGAGAACTCACCACTAGGCAGCCACTACAACAACAGGATTTTACTGCCCCAATCTCCTGCTGTCCGCAAGGTACCGCCAGATCTCTTGGGAAGACGTATTTCACATGTCATTCAGTCATTCTCTCATTCTTCCTATCTGGGTGGTTACCTATCACTTTTTACAGTTCACTAGAACCCTGGGTTGAAATGTTTGCATTAACGTCTGACTAAGCTGCTCCCTGGGGCCCGTCACCTCCCTCGAGGGCCCCGGCGCGACCTCACTTCCTGGGCTTGTTCCCACGCGCGCTGTAAAGACCTTTCTCACATACGTCCTCGATTTCCAAATCGTCCTGAAGCCTCGTTGCCCCTGCCTATCTTATGGCGTCCTGGCCACACATTCGGCTTTGCCATCTGTGTACCTTACTGCTCATCTCCTCACCTCCCAACCGGGTTTCATTTTTAATATAACAGGGCCCTTGGACCCTGCCAGGCAGTTGGATCTGCCCATCTGTGACCATCTCCCTGCGCCCTTCGTGCTGGTCGAGGTTCAGTCCCACCCAGAGGCTCCCCAGGCGAAGTCAAGCTTGAGCCCCTGCATCCCTCCCCTTTCAGACTCTGGGCATCTCTGCTTGACCCCACTCTACAAGAAATGGCATTGTTCCTTCAGTGGGAATCACTTGATGCTTTAATTTTAGTCCAATAACAGAATTAAATGTTCTTTGTTAAGAGAGTTTCACGTATGGACAAGTAAGTGGGAAGAAATTAGGAGGCAGGCCAGCTCTTTAAAAAAGCCTCCCCTTTTCCTGATTTGAGCCTCTAAGTTTGACTCTTGCATCAGGAAGGACCCTCTTCACAGAGACCCCACATCACATCACACTTCTTTCCTAAGGCAAACACCACTCACCCAGGCCAGATCACTTTCCCGTTAGGCCCAGATTTGTCTCAAAATCCCTGGCAAAGCAGTGGTCCAGGCAGCACCTCCCAATCAATCACATGGCTGAGAAAGAGCCATCCCTGGATGCCCCCACCTGCGGTCTTTCCCCCTCTGAGGACCGGCTGGGGGCTGGCAGCTGGCAGCCTTTGACTGCCGAGATCCTATTCCAGAAGGCAGCAGGTGGGGCATGCCTGGCTGATCCTAGGACCTGAGACCCAGTGGGTCTCCCTCTCTCTAATTCTAACCTGCTTGGATGACTAAACTGATCAGAGGCATGCTCAATTTCTTGTACAGCTCCCTTTAATTTAATGATTTTTCTTACTACAGCTGTCTTTGTCAGGTCTATATTTCTATGCTTTTTATTTCCATTGACATAGCTTCTGAAAATAAAATGTTATTAGGATCCTCTTTACTAACATAAATGTTAATTTAAAAATCTATCATTACAGTTTTAAAAATCTGTGCCCAGCATGTGTCACTGCTGCCTCTTGCCTTTATTCTTGGAAGCAGGTGTCTCAGTATCTCTTCCTGTAACTCCGTGTTCACCTCTCCCATGAGTCTGCCTTCCGTCTCTCATGTTCAGTGTACACACAAGTCCAGAGCCTCTCCCATGGACCAGGAACCATGCTAGGCTCTGGGACAGAGACAACCTGTTCAGGCCTTAAGGAACTCACAGGCAAGTGGAGATGACAAATATCCAGTGAGCACACATTTATAAACATGCTGATGTCCTCTATATCCTAGGAACCCTGAGGAGATGGCGATTCTTTCTGTGTGGATGCGATACAGGACATCAAGGGTGCACCCAAACAGGACTTCATGGAAAAGATTGCACCTGAGCGGAGACCTCATTTAGTAGGAGTTTGACAGGGGAATTGGAATTTTGCAGAAGAAATGGAATGGGATGTGAGAGTCAGCATCAGGAAAGCGGGAGGCTCACGGGGAGTAAAACAGGGAGAAATGGCTCAGGACAGGTCAGGGAGGCCTTGTTGTCCCCGCTACATCTGTGACCTTTATTCTGCTAACTGCAGTGACCCCCCCAACTGTTGTGAACACATAAAGTTTTGAAAATATTGTAAATTAATAACTAACATGTGTATTACATTGTACTTATAAAGCGTTTCCATGTAGCTGATCTCATTTTATTTTCACAATAAATTGATAGGCAGGTATTAACAGTACCTAATAATTGTAACTACATATTGGCATTGTGAGGAGTAAAGGAGAAGATAAATTTAAAGCACATATATAGTAGGCTGAATGGGGGCCCAAAAGATATGCTCCCCTCCTAACCTCCAGAACCTGTGATGGTATCTTGTTTAGAAAAAGGATCTTTGCAGATGCAATAAAGGATCTTTAGATGAAGAGATTATCCTGGGTTATCCAGGGGGCCCTAAATGCAATTTCAATGTCCTTACAAGAGAGAGGAAGAGGGAGATTTAAAACAGAAGAGGAGACGATGTGGCCATGGAGGCAGAGACGGGACTGGTGAGGTCACAAGTCAAGAGCAGCAACAGCCTCAGAAGCTGGAAGAGTGGCACTCGGAAGGATTCTGCTTGGAAGCCATCCAAGGGAGGGCAGCCCTGCCAGCTCCTTGCTCTGGGGCTTCTGGCTTCCAGATTGTGAGAGGGTAAACTTCTGCTGTTTTAGGCCCCCAGTTTTCAGTTATTTATGGCAGTCCTTAGAATTAATATAACACTTAAGATCCCACACCAATAGTTCAATACCATTAGCCTATAGTAGTCATCATCAACCTCCTCTTATTTTTGGCCCCGAGCTGGGCAGTAACACATCAGGACCACCCTTTGGAAGGAAACACGTCTAGCCGTGGGGGACAGAGCCGTGCAGAGTGCCTGCTGGAGACCTGAGACTGGGTGTGAAGAGTCAGATTCACTCAGGAGAAGGGGAACTTTGGAGGGAGAATCAATGAGATCTGTTGATCAAATTAAAGTGTCAGCGAAGCTGCCGCGCTTCTACTTTGAGCAGCCAGGACCCTCCTGAGATTGCCAAGTCTAGGAGGACCAGAACTGTAATTTTGTATATGTTGACCTTGAGACCTCTGTGGGACATCCAATGGAACTAGCTAGTGGATGGTTGGATACTCTGGCCTGAAAATCAGAGCATCAGAGTTAGTGGTACGGTTAGGGAGCCATCAGTGCCTTATGTAGGCTTGAAGCCCTGTGGTGGGCGTGGCTATTCCCATAGAGGATGTCAGCCAAGAAGGGTAAATCCAGGTGGACTCCAGCATTGCCCGGACAAGAGTGGGGGGAGAAGACAATGAAAGAAACCAAGCTAGGGAGGCTAGAAAGAGGGGAGGAGATTCGAAAGGAGAGCGTGGGGGAATCCAGGCAGGAGTCTGCCTTCTGTCTCCCCTTTGCTTTGCCATCATAACAGAAACAGTGCTTTAATGTATCTTCTATACTTAATTTACAAAAGGGATGAATGGGATGAAAATGCACATTTCATTCATTCTGGTGCGACTACAGTTCTAGAGAATTTGCGGTGAACAATTTCCACTGCCCTGTAGCCATCGTGGAACACAATTACCCAGCCAGACGGCTGCAGTGGGTTATTACTGCCTCTGCAAAGACGGGGACAGAGCTGACTACACCGCAATCAGGCCACTAGCATCGCAGCTCGAGCAGCCCTCCCTTCGTGGAGCAGCAGCAGAGAGGGTAAACCGGCTGCACTTGCCTGCGAAAGTGGCATGAGAAGTTCTGTGTCTGTTAGACACCGCATCACTTTGAGGGAAAATCAGCAAAGGTTAGAAGGACAACTGAAAGCCACAGTTGCCAGTGTCTGTTACAGCCGCGGGGTGGGGGGCGCTGCCCCTGCGGGCCCATCTGGGGGTCGTTTCCCCACCGTCTGCACCTCCCCACCCCCTGTCTGTGCAGCTTCCAGATGCTGGATGGAGGCCAGGACTCCAGCGGGGCGGCTGTCTCCTCCCCTCCCCGACCTCTGTTCCTTCCTTGTCTTTAGCCTTGTTCTGGAAAGGCACAAGCCCTTTCTTTTCCCCGTCCCCGCCTAGGCGTTTCCTGGGGTGTTTAAACGCATGAGAGAGTTTTAGGGAGAAATCTGGCAGAAAGTGTGGCAAAGGGCTGGGAAGGGGCAAGGTCATGAACACTCTTTTCTCCCCTTGCACTGACTTCCACCCAGAAGAGGCGGTGAACGCCCTGGAAGACCGGGGCGGCCTTTGCTCTCGGACCCCATCTCCGGGTAACAGCCCCCCAACCCCCGCCGCCCCGTCCCCTGCCAGCCTGCAGGTCCGCAATCTTACTTGGCGGGCTCCTGTGGCCGCACTGATTGGGGCACGGGGCCTCGGACCCAGGCTGTGCCATCCTTGTCGGAAGAGGCTGTCAGGGCCCTTTACTCCAGCAGACCTGGGCGCTGCCACGTGGCTGCTTTGTGACGCGTCGCCATGGAGACGCAGGTGGCTTCCCGGCAGCACAGCCCTGCTGTGCAGCGCGCTCAACCCCACCTGCTGCGGCCTGGGTTCCTTGAGCAAGCCAATGTGTTTCCAGTTTGGATACCTTACTTCCACGTGTTTGTATAGTTCTTGCAATGAGCTTTTCTGAGCGTTGTCTGGTATATCCGGGGAGAGCAGCAAAAAGATGTGTAGATTGCAGGGAAACTTGTATTGTCAAATTTTCAACTGCAAATTTTCATCTCCTCATAATTTGCAGCCTAAGTGACTCTGGGCAAAGGTGTCATGGACCTTTGCGGTGGGTAGGAACCATGCAAGAGGATAAAATCCCAAGTAATCTTGTTTAGTAGAACTAGAACAGTTTATGAGACGGTTGTATGCTATCAAACCAGTCACCGCCTGCACACAGGAGCCAGGACATGGCAGGAGCGTGTGTGAGAAGTGAGCTTGGAAACGAGTGGAAAGCAGTGTGTGACCCCAGCCCATGCGCCTGCACCAGCCACGGGCGTTTTGTGATCATTGATTTAGTTGTTCTTCTAGCCACACAGATTAAACTGTCTTCCACCCCCTGAATGTTAGACTTTTCCTAGAACGTGGAGGGTCTTTTATCTTCATATTCTTGGCAACTGTCCGGTAATTTGACACACAGTAGGTGCTTAGTAATACTGACCTCCTTCATGTTAGAACACAGCAATTACCCACTTTGGGTGCAAAGACAAGACATTAAGTACACATTCAAGACTGCTGGCAATGTATTTTGAGGCAATTTACAACCATTTTTTATCTCTAAAGGGATCACTCTAATATAGGACCTTAGGTGAGCAGTTCACTGCAGTGTAATGAAGGGGAGTTTATCAAAGGAGGCACAATAGGCATTAGAGGAAGGGGCCCAACTAATCTGCAAAGAACTTCTTAAAAATTAGGAGCTAAATTAGAGTCCTATTCACATAATGGAATGAGTATAATATTTGAGACTCTCAACTTTTATAGCAGTGAATGGTGGAACACATTAGAAGGCATAGACTTCTGATGTTATTAAAAGGAATAAGTCTAAATTAGGATTTAGTAGTGACATCTAAATTAAGAAAGTGGTACCCAATAACAGATTACTGACTGGAAATGGTGGTGCTAGTTAGCATAGCATCATTTAAGGAAACTTTATTTTTAAAATAGAGCGGTGAATGTATAGAATTTTGAAAGCACGTTCTTATTAATATCTTAGATTGGTCTCATCCCAAGCATGCTCTGAAATGGTGCCGTATGCCCTGAATCGAGAGCCAGATCCCTTTGTACTTTCTACCTGAGGGCCCTTGCAGTAAAGCAGATACTTCTCTGAGCCCCCATTCCTTTATCTTTAAAATGTGCATACTTGTACGCACCTTACCAGGCTGTAAAGATGAATCATTCTAATGAAAATTGATAAATTGTAAAGCTGCACAAACCTAAGGTGTTGTTCTTTTATCTTACTGCTGTTGAGGTCCCCATTCTTTCTCAGTCTTTTCATTTCTGCTTCAAAATGAATTTGCGGCACAGGCCCATCTCATAGTGAGCAGTACAGCACTATTTCTGTTTTTGAATTTGGGTTGTGTGAAGCAACCCCTTTCAATGATTAAGTAGAAATTTTTCCTTTCTTCTTTCCCTCAGCAAATACTAATTATGCACTGAAAATGCGCCATATATGACATTAAGGGCGGTGTCTGGATGTTATGGGAACTCGGGGAGGTTGTTGTGGAATAGGAAATGTCTGAGCTGAGCTCTGAGGATGCCTGGGTGACGAGGGGGAGGGTCCCTGAGGCTGAGCAAGGGTCCGGGAGGCACGGCACAGCTGCGGGCTGGAGCCCTGGGTTAGCAGGGCAGCACCAGACTGTAGAGCGAGGGAGAGGGCCTGGAGAAGTGCGAGCAGGAAGCCCTCAGGCCAGGCTGGGAAGCTTGGACTTCCCCTGAGTGTGAGAAGAACTCACTGGAGCGGGGTGACCCACAGAGGGAAGGAGTCAGGTCAAAAACTGAAGTAAATCCTGGCCTCTTTTTCCAGAAGTAAGAGAAGCCAGTTCTGCATCACCTGCTAGCAAAATTAATCATTCAGAAATTAAGACATCTAGGTTCCTAATAGGCCTTTCACAGAGTTCTGAATTGACCAAAAACTATTAAGAATAGTTGTACTGAATGAGTTAAAAGTTCATTTGTTGCTTTCTAATTGAATTGCTACAATAAATTTGTGCACACACACACACATAGGCGTATGTGCAGAGGGGACCTGTTGGCAAGTAGGAAAGACAGGGTGGTTGGTAGAGGGACCAGGTGGCAAGTATTGAACACTCAAATTTTGGCTGTGAAGGAGAAAGTCTCTCTAGCTTTCACAGGCCTAGGCCTGGGACAGACAGAGGTGCCTGGCAACTGCGTGTGCCCACCCACACCTGGGCACCTTTTAAGGACATGGATTCTGACTCAAGAAGTCAAGCAGGGCCCCAGATTCCGTTTTCTCAGAAGATGCCAGGTGGCTCATGAGGTTTGAGATGAATAGCTACAGAGCCTTGTGTCGGGACCAGCAGCCCGGACATCACCCTGGAGCTCATTAGGGACAGGAACGCAGGCCCCACCCAGACCTACTGAACAGAATCTGCAGTGCAGCCTGACCTCCAAGAGATTCCTTGGCACATTCAAGTTTGAGAAGCTCTGCACCAGGGCCTTTGAGAGGCAAAACTGCCTCGGAAAAGACTTGATAGGAGAATTTACGGAGCAAGCCAACCAGGCATGTGTAAACGACAGGGCAGGTTGCTGCTTCCAACAGCCCAGAAGAGGTCACAATCTGCAGTGATGCCCGAGACTGTGGATACGAATATACCAAGTCAAGTTTTTTCTGGCTTGGTCGCTGTATTTGGACAAAAGCCTTTCTATTACTATGTAGCATGCGATGCTTTTATTCAAATGTCTTGTAGGAAAAAAGAAAAGAATACTGCTTTGTCTCCTTTGTTTTCGCTGATTAACTTGTAAAACATTTTCTCAGTTTCTGTGATGCACTCTGTATTATTCAGGGTTCTCTAGAGAAATAGAACCAATAGAAAGTGTGTGTGTGTATGTGTGTGTGAGTGTGTGTGTGTGTGTGTACACAATTATGGAGCCTGGCAAATCTAAACTCTGCAATTGCCACCTAGCAGACGAAAGGCCCAGGGCACAGTCAAGTTTGCAGTTCAAGTCTGGAGACCATGTGTGCATCATTCCCCCTTGCTAAGGCGAGATCGGTCTTTTGTTTAATTGGGGGCTGCAATGAATAGGCGTGGCCCACTCACACTGTGGAGAGCAATCTGCTTCAAAGTTCACCAAGTTAAAAGAAGAGTGTTTGACCAAATATTGGGAGGCCATGGCCCAGATGAACTGGCACATGGGATTAACCCTCACAGGTGCGGGTCTGGCTGAGTGTATCTAGTTCAGACCTGCCACTCAAGAGGTGTTGTGGGCCAGCAGTCCAAGAATGATTGCTATCCTCTTATTGAAAAATCCAGAAATGCAAATTATATAATATCCTCTATTTCATTAGGACAGGCCAGTTTAACAGGGTAAATTCTAAGCTCTGCTTCTAACTTGGCCACTCACCAAGTTAAGCCATAATAGCAAGTTTGGACTATTGATTCCATCAAAACCTCATCAATCAGATATAAATGTCACCTCCCTCCCTGGGCCACCCCTGCTCTCTCTCTGATTCTTGGGCTTTTCTCTCCTGAACTCTTACCCAGCCATTGGGTAATTACGAATGCCCTACATTTTCAGTTCTTTCAGGTTTATTCAAGTAGTGTATATCAAGTGTGAACACTCATTTTAAACCTGTTACACCAGCATTCATCCAAACGAATGTTCTCTTCTTCAAAGTAATAATTTATTCTAATGACACTGCTATTGCTTAAAGCATTTTTGAAATTCTTGAGCAACTCCCTTCAGAAACTGATCACATTCTTTTGAATGTCTTAAATAGGGGCATAACTTTGCTGTTTGAAGATGGGTTGGATATTGAAAAGAGGGAAAAGACACTCACACTGGTGATTAAGGTAGGCAATCAAGTTGGGCGATGTTATCCTTTAGCCAAAAGTCAAACTATGAGGAAGAAAAACCCTCATTCCATAGATAATGTCCAGATTTGCATTCCTGTTGTCATTTAATAGGCTCCAAGGTGATTTTTCCACTGAGATCCTCCATAAATCAGTCACTCGGATAAATCAATCCTTACATATTTAAAACTAAACTTTACGTTACACTCATTAACTTCAACTCCAAAACTGGGTCATAAACATTTTGGAGGTTTTTGTTTTTGAACTTCTCTCAGAGCACTTATATTATTGTTCTGACTAGCTTGTATACCTGTCTTCTTTTACTAGACTGGAAGCTGCTTGAGAGCAAGGGTCATGCATGAGGCCCTTTACAGACCAGCGTCCGCCTCGGTGCCCTGCACTCAGTTACGTGTAGTAGGCACTCAGTTACGTGTGTTGAATGAATGAATGGTGTGAACTGAATGAGTGAATGAATTGTCTAGGTCACTAGTGTCCCACAGATTCCTACTGATCTTAAACTGTTGAAATATCTGAATTAGGCCACATGTATACCTAGATTGAGGCCCCCTTGCACCCAGAAAGATCTGGTCACATAGACTTTTCACCAATTTTAAAAGTTGCCCACTATCACTTCTTTGTAACATTTGCTAATAAAATGCATTACCACTGTGTGTATTGCCTTATGGTGAGTCGATAAACCTTTGCTGAGTGAATATTGAATGAGTGACTGCGTGGGATCAGGGTCAAATAGAAAAAAATTTTTTAATGATCAAACAAATCTTCCAGATCCTTGGTCCACTCATGGAGTGATTACTGGTGGTTTTCCTCAATTCAGCTACTTGCAAAAATCTCTGTCAATTTTTTAATAGAGTTTCTATCTCCTTTGGGAAGCATTTAATATTTGAT